TGGGACACACAGACAGTTTGTTCTGTGTTTAAGATTCACCCTGAATTGCTGTATCCTGTAAGAAAGTGATCCTGATCATCTCTCTCTTCTCTTCAGTCAGTATGCTTTTGTAATTATGTGTGTTTGTTATCTGTGTTTACATGTGCACAGTTCAGTTCCAGCCTGCATCTAACATGCTCCTACCATCCTTTGGTCATGTTAGTTTTTATTATTATCATTTTTTTCCTTCAGTTTCAATTTTTTTTCTATGTGGCTGAAATGCCTAAACAAACTCATTTGAAGCAGTGTCCACATGCTTTTGGCCAAGGAGTGTATGTAAATGTGTTCATTTTCATGATGTCACAGAAATAATAAAAAAAGCTGTTTTTGCTGCTCAATTCTCATAGTTTTCCATGATATGGGCCTATTTACACTCTAGGGATCATAAAAGGTTTATGATATACAGCTTCCTTATATCATACATAGACATGCATAAGGGCACATATAGACAGCTACAGGCACAGTTCCTTCTGCTGATGTCCATCCATCCATCATCTAAACTGCTTATCCTTCTGGCTCACGATGGGGTGCTGGAGCCTATCCCAGCTGTCAATGAGCGAAAGGCAGGATACACCCTGGACAGGTCGTCAGTCCATCGCAGGGCAGACAGACAGACATACATATACAATCACACACACATTCACACCTAGGGGCAATTCAGCATTTCCAATTGGCCTGACTGCATGTCTTTGGACCGTGGGAGGAAACCGGAGTGCCCGGAGACACGGGGAGAACACGCAAACTCCACACAGAAAGGGCCCCGGTTGCCTTGCCGGAAATTGAACCCTGCTGTGAGGCGACAGCGCTACCCACTGCGCCACCGTGCCGCCCTCTGCTGATGTCAGATTTCATAAATATACAGGATATGGGGCACATTTAAATGTGTTACGAGTGTTCGTATAAAGTGTTACCTGATATTCTTGTTGTGTATATATTTGGGAATAATCATCATAATCAACAGGAGTTTTGTTCATTTAATTTGATTTTTTGCTTCTAATGATGTTTTAAGCACATCTGCTGAAACTCAGGATAAAAGTCTTAAACCTTAAATACTCTCCACTGTCCTGATGTCAAGATGTACTGGGTAAATAGAAAGAAACATCTTCTAGTGCAGTGGTTAGTAGCTCATTTAAACCATGGAGGCTGGAATGTCATGAATTGCTGTTCCTAGTTGTTCATACTGCTGGAAGAACACAATGTTTGAATGATGTGGCCACATTTTATTATTATCTTATGCTATACACCGTTTAGTTCGGCCACGCAAGCTGATTGGTTGAGAGGCGTTCTAACTGTGCTGTTATTTCACCATAACGTCACAGTTTTTCACAAACACTGTATCACTCCGCTGAGGCGCCGTTGCTAAGCAATGAGTTTGACAGCTGTAGGAGACGCTCAAGCCATTTGAACGTTTTTACTTCTTACTTTGCCACAAACCGAAAATGGACACTTTTAAGATTATATTTGACCGACAGCCGATTTGGTCAGACTCTGAAGATGAGACTACACTAAATTCACAAACTGTCATCACCACTGAGCAGCTTTTCAGTCGGCAGCTGAGACAGAAGAACAGATAAACAACCTGGAATCAGCCAGAAATTAACCGAATACCTTTCGCCAAACGTGCAGTCTGATCTTCAGAGTCTGACCAAATCAGACTGAGCCATAAAACTACCCGATAAAAAATTTTGCTCGGTGTTAATGAGAGTTTCGGAGTTTAGTGTAAGGAGCTGGAGAACGACCTGCCGGCTGTGCAGCGAGTGGGCGGAGTTCGTTACTCTGACGTTGGAACGAGCTGCTTAAGGAACTATAATTTGGCGGAAGGAATTGCGAACATTAAATCATATTAAATGAGACGTTCACGGCCCAGTTTATTAATTTATTACTTTATTTGTATGATGAGTTACGGATCTACTGCGACCAAATCACAGCCGTGATGTTATTTCGCGATAACTCACTTCCTCTCGTGTTCTATTGCTCAATTTTAAGATACTTCAGATTCCTTTGTGTGCACGTGATGTAACAATGTTTATTTGTTGATGCGTTTGAAAAGGTAAATATCTTTAAAATATTACTTTTTACTTTTCATACTTTTTTTCAATATAACTGACTGCGTTTATGACTGTTTAACTGTCAGTTCTGTAGTATCGCAGTCAGTGTACAAAATAAGTACTTTATTACTGCACAGGAACATAGTCTCTCATTTACTCTCATCACACTTTTTTGTGAGCTATTACTGTAATACTTATATATTTAATTACATAACCTACTTCATTAAATGGGATTTGAGAAAGCTGTAATTGTTTACACTGTGATAATGTATCCCCATCTGCTGGTTAAACTGGGAACTACAGAAAGAAATGATAAACATACATACATACGTACATCATCTAAACCGCTTATCCTTCTGGGTCGCGGTGGGGCGCTGGAGCCCATCCCAGCCGCCACTGGGCGGAAGGCAGGACACGAAATGATAAACATGCAGAAGATAAATATACAGACGTAGACAGATTTGTCTAAACGCATACTCATGTCAAAATGTTGTTTTAATGATGTAATGACTCAAGTAAAAGTATATTTGCAAAAACAACTTGAGAAGAAGTACAAAAGTATGTAAGCACAGTTTGTTGGGTGTTACAAGTTTGTGTTCTTCTTTTGGTCTAAAATAATAAACCTTAAAAGTCAGAGGTGTGAGTAAAAGCACAGCAGTACAGATGCTGTCACCACCAAAACACAATGAAATTGAACACCAAAAAAGGAAAACTAAAATGTTACTGAGTAAAACAATTACATTCCTCACAAATATTCTTCATAGAAGAAAAGAATTATAACCTTGCCTTTCCCCTGGGAAACGTAAATGTAACTTTGGACCTAAAGGACCATGTTGAACTTTTAAGAGTACATTTACATTTTTGTTGCTTCACTGAATAAAAGGTTGCTTGAAATGTACTTGATTCAAATACATATGGTTCCACAGCAATGAAATATACAATTATAAAAGACACAATTATTGTCTTTCATTTTACTTACCCTTGACTTGTATTAATGTAACAAATTCCATACATGTGGAATTGATGTGCCCTTTTGAATCAAGTACAAACACAATTCCAAAAAGGTTTGGACAGTAGATCATTTCTTTTGTAAATAGAAGCTCATTCTGAAACTGATGCCTGCAACACGTTTCAAAAGAGTTGTTACAGGGGCAATTTCAGACTAAAGACTAGGAACATTGTGAAATGTTCAAAAAACATGTTAAGCAGGCGATGCAATCATGCTTGGATATAAAAGGAGCATTTAGAAAAGGCCTAGTCCTTTATGAGAAAGGATGGGTTGAGGCCACTTTGCAAAAAATCCACTGTGTAAAAAATAATGTTCCTCAGCCAGGGATTGCTAGGATTTTACATACTTCACCCTCTACGGTGCATAATGACATCAAAAGATTGAATGGAAGATTGAAAAACCTCTGTGTGTAAAGGAAAAAGCCAAAAAACACTATTGAATGCCCATGACCTTCAACCCCTCAGACAGCACTAAAAACCAGCATGATTTTGTGAGGAGGATCACCAAATGGGTTTGGGAAAACTTTCACAAACCATTGATAATAAACACCATCCTTCACTGCACCAACAAATACAAGTTAAACCTGTACACAGTGGAGGTCACACATCAACAACAAAGTTCAAAACCAGCCTCTGTGAAGTTCAGAACCAGCCTCTGTCAACCCTGCCATGTGTAAACATGCACCCATGCTTATTTCAACATGTCAACACCAGCCCACATTCTGCATGTTACAATAGCACTGCAACAGCAGTGTAATCAGAGAGTGCAGTTGCTAGACTGACCTGCCTGCAGTCCAGAACTGTCTCCCATTAAAAACAAGTGTCTTATTAAGCTCAAAATACGACAACAAAGACCCTGTATACAGTTGCACAGCTGAAGACTTGTGTATAACAGCAAATGGCAAAAAATGTATGTTTTCAAAATTGGATGAATTGTTGTCTTTAGTACCCAGACAATTATTAAGTGCTGATAACAGGAAAAGTGATGTAACACAGTGATAAACTTGATTCTGTCTCAACCTTTTTGGAACATGTTGCAGACATCAAATTTGGAATGAGAATATATTTATAAACAACAATAAAGTCAAGTCAAGTTTATTTATATAGCACTTTTTACAACAGACATTGTCGCAAAGCAGCTTTACAGAAAAATCCATCTCCAAGCCCCCATGAGCAAGTTCAATGGAGACAGTGGCAGGAAACACTCCCTAAAAATAAGAGGAAGAAACCTTGAGAGGAACCCCGACTCAAAAGTGGAACCCATCCTCCTCTGGTTGACACCGGATAGCAAAACAATAACACAAGAGCAAAATGAACAGAGGAAAAGATTTTACCATGAGTATAAAATATTACAATACAGAAAAGGGGAAAGCAGGTGAAGCAATGGCCATGATTAAATAGTTCGAGTAGAGCAGCAGCAGCATCATCAGGAGGGTCAGTCAATGCAGGTGAGGTTTGCACAGCGTTGTACAGCAGAAGTTCCATTAAACAAATTAGTTCACTATTTATCAAAATAAGCCTTGTAATATGTAATCAATAAATACCTGTATATTTCTAAGTTGGCATCATAGGTCTAATAATGAGAGAGTTTAATAGATTAATTGAACTATTAAAATCATTATCCAACACATTAGTTTACTATTTACCAAAAAAAGCCTTAATAAAAGGCTAATATTGATAGAGTTAAATAGCTTCAGTCTACCAATTTTGCATATAAAATACAGTTTAAAATCCTAAAAAGAAGGGGAAAACATTCCAATGTGTTTTTCTAAGGTGGTTTGACACCATGAGGTCAGCCACTTAAGGGCACATCAACAATTACTTTAAAATTAAATAAAACATGAAGTGATGGAGTGGAAAAACTGAAAGAAAACATTTTAGTTCAAATCAAATAACAACACAACCACAAACTATAGAACATAAATGTCTTTATGATTTGATGATCTACTCTGGTCATTTAGAGGCAAAGTTACAAGCTTCAATTTCCATGCAGTTCTGCATTTCTCAAACCCAATAACGAACAGCCAGCTTCAAACTCTGAATAATGATAATGAGGTGATGAGTTCTTGCCGTCTGAGCGGCACCACTAGAGCGCAGCACTGAGTCGCGAACGACCAAAGAAGTTTCAGGTCATTGAGACCACTAACAGATTACTGATACAGATCAGTGTCAGATACACGAAGATCCACGATTTTTAATCTTGATTCGTGATCTGGTAAATCTGAGTACTGGAGTCTTCCATGAAGCCACCCGATGTAGGACAGTGTTTAATGGTCATCGTTATTTTTAGTAAAGAGCTCAGCAGCTGTATCACTTCAGTCTGATACTAATGATGTGAGGATGAGCTACAAACACATTGAACACGGAAGTTCTCACCTCCTCCACTTAGAGCAGAGACGCTCTGCAGACATTAGTCCTGATCTTCTCTCAGCTCCACATGTAGATCAGACTGACTCTGTCTGAGTTTGAGCTCCACTCAGACCTGCAGGATGAGGACTGTTTATCTGGGAATGCTGCTCTTATTCCAAAGCGCTGTTTCCTCCTTAACGGAGTTCAGCGTTAAAGGAGAGATCAGGAACTTTGCTGTTGGAAACGGGAAAGTGTTCGTCGTCACCGACTCTCAGCTCCTCCAGATGAGGCTCGATCTAGTAGAGGAAAAACACAAGGACATATCTGACCACACACATCACCAAGTTAATATTTTACTGCCTTTCGACGCGAATAAGACCCTGATAACCTGCGGAATTTATGGCTGTGGATACTGTGAACTCCTGGACATCAATGACATCAGCAGAAGTCTCTACAGGGAGAATGTTTCAGTCGGACCATCTGTTAATAAATCATCTGTTTCCTTTATTGTAGATTTTGATGAAGGAAACGCAGAAAGATACATGTTGGTTGCCAGAGAAAAGGTTCCTGAAGACTGTGGCTCTGATGATGAAGTATCTCTGCGGAACACTCTGGACTCTCAGACAGGAGGAATTTTTTCTAAAGTAGCCTCTTCAAACGAAGCCAGCATTTCTCCACAGAGTGATGTTGAGTGGATTGATGGCTTCCAATCATCTCCTCCCTCTCACTCGTACCTGCTGGTGAACGTTAAGTCTGGAACAGGTCCAGCTGTGGTGGTCTTAAGGATGAAGAACATCCGCAGTAAAACAGAAATGACCAGATCTCTACAAGGTGCAGTGCTACAGTGCTGTGATGATAAAGACCGTAAAAAGCTCTTATCCTCCTCTGCAGTTCTCTCCTCTGGATCTCCTCTTCTCTGGGCGGGAATATTCACTGCGCAAGAAGCGCACGACCCCCAGAACACTGCTTTGGCCATTTACGACCTCAGTCAGCTCAGAGACCGAGTACCTTCATATTTCAGCTGTAAACCACAGTGCACAGCTCAGGTGAGAAACTACTAACATAAATATAAATAAAGCATCAATTATGATTTATATTTAAATGATCTGCACTTTATGCTTCATGTCATTCAGCCTCTAAAATCAGATGATGTAGATCAGTATCTGTCATCTCTTTCCCTCAACATGTTTCTGGTCTCTGCAGAAAGGAGGTGATGCTCTGAGTCCTCGTGCTGTGGTGCTCAAACACAGTTCAATGTCATCTGTAGCAGCAGAAAAGAAAGGATCCTGGATTGAGCTCTACATCGGAACTGCAAATGGACAACTGATGAAGGTCTGACTTTCTGTCCATCTTCTAATACGTAATCACTCAACAAAATAAAAATCAGTGTTTGAATATTCAGCCTTTCTTTGTTCTGTTTTTCGCACAAGTTTAAACACTTTTAATGTCCTGTAGTTGTGAACTGTCTCAAAGTCTTTACTGTCTGACAGTCTCTCCAAAATGTCATGATTACCACATAATCACATCAACTGTTTCATTTACATACTTGTAAAATATATTAAACTCTTCTTCAAAAACAGAAATCCTTCACAGGTCCAATGCAGAACAAACACAGACAGTAATTCATATCGTCTTTTTTACTTGTTTTAGGTGGGCAAACATTATTTGCTCTCTATTGTTTCATTTTGTAGCCAGAGGCCAATAAAAACATTATCTGTATTTCTTATTGTTTTCTTCTGCTTGTGTTTCCAGATTGTGCTGGACAAGGCTTTGAATTCTGGCTGTTTGACGGTGCTGTACAAATCTGATGATGACAGGATGGTGTTTCCCAGAATGCACTTTGATCCAGTGGATCATAAATACATCTACATAGCTTTGGGAAATCAGGTGAGTCTTAAAGCCAAACACCCATCATCAGAAGATGACATAAGCACCATTAAAGACAACTTACATGAGAGATCTTTAACTCTGGACCCTGAAATAAGGAATTTAAGGTGGAATTGAAACAAATGAAACTCTCTGCCCTTTAAATGTCTTTGCTCATCTTTCTGCAGTGACAGTTCAAGTTTATTTAAAGTCAGCTAACAAAGTACAGCCATTTCAGGAAAGTGTTTTGGAACTGATATCTTTAGTTTTATTGTGAGATTAAATTAGTTGTATATGTTTGTGTTGTAGATCAAGCGACTAGCAGTGACTCAGTGTGGTCTGTACAGCACTTTGAGAGACTGCAGAGCTTCTCAGGATCCGTCCTGTGGCTGGTGTCTGACTACAAGCAAGTAGGTTTCTCACTCATTCGTACACATCTCCTTTTCAACACTGCATGTCTGCCTTTTTAACCATTTTTGTTCTATAAGTATTGAAACATTATGTGTCGGGTGTCTCTGTGACTCTTTTTATCCACCTCACATGCAGCCGACACTGATCTCAGCAAAACAAACCGATACTGATAATGTGCAAAATATTCACTACACCTGCTTTACAGAGTTACAAATAACCAGCCAAACCTCATAGGACCATTTGTTGTCATTATGTTTTAGGACCTGCTTCTACTCAAACTTTGGCTCTTGTCATGTACGTCTCTGTTCATCTATTTTGCGTGTACCCTGCATTAGACCACATAACAGCGGGGTATAGCCATGATGGCGTATTCTTGGGTCAGCAAGTTAAAGTTAGGTTTAATTCAGCCTTAATAGCATCATATTAGCAGCATAACATTCAGTCATTTTAGTCAAAGACAACTTACTCTCCAGTCATACTGCATAGCTGACCTTGTCCATGTTATGTACATGAACAACAGTCCTTGATAAAAAAAGCTATTTTAGCATCATCAGCAAAGTTTTTAGGATACTGTAGTTCAGTTAACATAAAGAGGCTTATTTTCTATTCCATACATTTTCACAGGTGGAATGGGAGGCAGTCAATAAATAACTATCTACATAGCATATAGCTCGTATTGTATATGATATATGATCATATTGTATATGATTATATATCGTTCTTTTGTGTGAAACTCTTTCATTTATTGGAAAGAAAATAATTGGCTCTTTTATTCACTCAGGGAAGAGAATCATAGTAAATACTGTGCTACTAAAAAGGCGTGACTGTTGTTGTTGTTAGTCTGGGTTGACGGGGGAGGGGAACAGGGCTCCTAAATAAATTGTAATTATCTGTTAGCTTACAGTTTCTCAGGAATATAACAACATCAGTGTAAATGTCCTTATCTGAACTTTATTTGCTAACCCATAATGCAAAAAAAGCATGACATCAGCATGTTAGTCCAAATACAAATCATATGTGGATTCACATTTAAATGAATAATAAATATTAAATAATAAATAATCCAGCTTATTTAAGCATGTATTGCTTAATGATTATACATACAGCAGACTGCTAACAAATTATCATCACACATGACATGAAAGAATAACAGTACTCATACAGGCTAATCACAGAAACGTAACAGATACAGTATATACAGACAGTATTAGGTGCAAAGCAGAACTATTACAAGATTTTATAACATTAATTAACTACAGCATTAAAAGGCTCCTGCCATTGGCTGATTAATTATACTATAACTACCAACTGAATAACCAGAGCTAACCGGTTTTTGGAATGTCTGAGCTGTGCTGCATACACTGGGAACATGACCCCCATCTTCAAAGAAGTTCTGTCCCCTTCATTTTTTGTCAATCAAAATATTGAGAGAGAAATCTGCAAATCTGGCTAATTTCTACCATATTCTACCATTTAAACCATATTACAAATACTACTTAGTCACAGTCAGCTTCAGAATTATTGGCACTCTTGGTAGAACCTGTGAAAAAGGATGTGAAAAATGTCTTTGTGACTAATTAGCCCAATCTCACACTAAACATATGAGAAAGAATCTTAAATTGAATTAAATGTAGTCTAAGAAAACAAAAAAATAATTAAAAAAATGTTTCATTATTTATTACGTTATTATTCTTATATTTTGTCATTATTGGCTCCCTGAACTTCTTCTTAACAAAATGTATCCATTGTATCCATATCCTGTTTCCATTTATATTTTAGTCCACCTGCATGTTTAGCAACCCTTAAGTGGTCTTGCATGACTTTCTGTTTCACTGGGTATGAGGATCCGCAGAGGCCAAATTCCCGTAGTTGTTCATCAACAAGGGGAAGATTTTATTCCATCTCTGACCATTTATTCTTAAAAATGTAAAATCAGTCCATGATAGTTGTGATAATCATGTAAGTATTATAACAGTTAAGGTATGAAGGGCTATACGTCGCTTTGAAGGAGGGTCTAAATTAACTTTCTGTTCTAACACCAGTTATTAATAATCTTGAACTCATGCCAGGTAGTCATGATGCAGACTTCCGAATTTGGCTGGCCAAAGGCATTAAAAAGTTAGCGGACCTTTTTAAAGATGGACGTTTTTTTAACCATTGACTCCGCAATATAATTTATCGAGACAAGATTTTTTTTAGATTTTTCCAAATTCGTAACGTTACATTTTCGAAAACACTTTACTGACCAACTATTTTGATGAATCCCATGAAGAAAGACTCTATTTTACCCCCCTGGGAAACTAACGGTGAGTCTATTCTATAATGTGTGGAAAGTTAACCAGCTTCTCAGACATCTGAGCTTAACGATATAACAGTAGAGGGACCTCTGTGTAGCTGTAAGTGATGAGGAATAGGAGAACATCTGGAAATCTGTGTGTAACCATGCAAAAGTGATTCAGTACTGAATCATACATCGGATGCACATTTCTCCCAGTCGAAGGCGTGCTTTCAACAGTTCAGCCTAACCACTTTGTCTTAAGTGTAACTCAGAGAGGGTCTCTTACCGATTGTTGTTGGACATGTTATAAGTTGTAGGAATATTGGGCTAAGATAGCACAAGAAATTGGGAACATCTTTGATATAGAGGTTGATTTAAAACCATTATGTTTGATTTTTAACTTCACTGAATGAAAGAAAGTTATACAACATGCTCACCTTTGCAGCAACGAAGAATATTCTGTTACAGTGGATTACTGAGAAGATTCCAACTGTGATTGGTTGGCATAAGATATTAAGAGAAATAATTTCAATGGAGTATTTAACTTGTGCACTACATTGTAAGACAGACCACCTTTACCCCACCTTTTTAAGGTTTGGGAGACTTATATTAACTTAATTAGATCTATTTTACATATAATGACAAAATGGAATCTGTTGAATTTTATGAGCTTGTTGAGATTGTGCAAACTCTTTAGTTGTGCATTGTTAAGTGTTTTAAAGACAAAATCCAATAAAAATATTCAAAAAAAATAAAAAACATAGGGAAGATTGGAGGATTTGAGAATACAGAAAGGCAATAAGCGAAAAGTGTGCTAACCTTCATAAATTATACAATTAAAAAGGCTATAAAATAGTTGCATGCATGAAAATGCCCATATCCTCTGTTAGGGCAACAATAAAGAGGTTTAAAACAACCAGAGCTACAGTAAACCTGCCTGGAAAGGGAACACGAGCATTTTTTATTTTATCTGCCCACAAATGTAAGCACCTGAAGTTCATTATTACCTTGGAACCTACTGGAACCTGGTTCTATAGTTAGATGAGACAAAAATAGAGCTTTTTGAAAACAGCGCTTAGTGAAGATCAGGCGTGAAAAGAAGAATGGTTATACAAAGGAAACCCGATCTCCACTGTTAAGTATGGTGGAGGATCTATTATGTTTTTGGACTGTTTTTCATCTAAAGGCTCTGGGAACCTAGTTAGGCGACATGGCATAAGTGGAAATCTGGGCCTTCTCTGCCAAAAGATCAGATAAACTTTAGTTGTAGTTGGATCTTCTAGCATGACAAGTATCCAAGCATAAATCCAATAAACTTTACACGACAGTCTACAGCTGTATAATCCTGTCTTGTCCTGCTTTGTCTTTCCTTGTTTCCGTCTGCATCTTGCTCCATCAGCTTTTGTTTATGTCTGCCATGTGCTTTTGTTGTTTTGGTCTGTCTCCTGCCCAGTCATCTGTCCCACCTGTGTGTAATCTGTAGCCCGGTCCTCTCGTTAGCCCTGGGTATTTCTCATGTGTTCTTTTGTTTATATTCCCCTTTGTTTGGTCAGTTCCTTGCTTGTTGTTGTTTGTAGTATGTTCTTAGTTTGAGTGGTTATTCCTGTGTATTTTGTTCTCTGTTCTTTGCTTTTGGTGGTTCTTTTCATTTCTTTAGTGTTTGCCTCATTTTGCTTTTCTTTTTTTTATTGTTCTGTTTTTGCTGCTTGGACAACAATAAAACTGCTAGCTCACACATGCCTTCTCGTCTTCCAACACGTTACAACAGCTGTGACTACTTTTACTTCTCTTTGATACTGAAGATTGAAGCTGTACGTAGAAAACACAGAAGCAAGCCTGGTTAAGAAAGTTGGCTGCATGCCCTTACAGATGATGTGTCCCTCACAACTGACCATACAGCGTTCAATACAGCCTGCTGTTTTCTGACCTGAAAAAAACAAATGAAGAGTTAACCACTGGCAGCAAGGATAGTGCCATTTTGCTGAAATACAAAATTGTTGTTGACTTATGCAGATTCTTTACAAACATAGCAAGCAGGAGCAGCTGAGGAAATGCCAGTAGGGTGAACATCATCTTCACATCAGCTCTGGTGGCAAACAACTAGAACAGAATAACAACAGCATGCACTAAACACATGTATCTGTCCCTCACTGAAGCACCAGTATCACCACTGAACAGATTCCTGAATTTCCACTCTTCAGATCTAGTTATATGAAATAGTCTAATATCAACCATAGGGCTAGCACTCTGCAAGTGCTTTCAGACACCAACTAGCTAAACTACATTAGTGTGGTATTTTTACAGAGAGAAGATGTAATGTTACTCAGGCCAAACACTGCATACAAAACACATTTTCTCTCACAAAATTGTGATTTCAGTTTCAAAAAACCACTGACATGATCACAGAGTTCAGCTGTTAGCTAATTTATTTACTAAAGGTGCTAAAAGGACAAAAAATGTAGTCTCCTACAAAACGATAATCTAGACAGCTGGAAATGTAACAGATGAGTTTTGTATTTCCTCACAAGCAAAATGAAATGCCATGCTATAATGTAAAACATGAAGGTGGATGAAAATCACAAGGAATTGCCACAAGCTACTGCTACACTAGCTTTATATCACGCAACTCCTGTAATGCGATAGTTTTACAAAAACTAGCTGTTTTAAGGATAACGTGATAATACCGTAAAAAGCGGCTGTAAATTTACAGCTGCAGTTCGTTTTACAGTAAAGAGCTGTTTTTTGTGTATAACGGATATATAAGGGTAATACCATTGAAAACTGGCTGTTAATTTACAGCAATTTTTTTACTTTTTATTTTTTATGTGTGTTAGCATGTTAAAATAAGGTTTAACTTGGATGACAGCAGCTCAACATTCAGGCAATTAGGTCAAAGGCAATTTACCCTCCGGTCATATTAGCTGACCTGGTCCAGGTTATGTGCATGAACAACAGTTCATTAAAAACTGAAAATAGCTATTGTAGCATCACCAACAAAGTTCTTAAGATACTGTAGGTGCACTAACACAAAGAGGCTACCGCACATATAGAAAGGGTTCTGAAATCATTCCTTCATGCTGAATAACACCACATTCCTCAAAAACTCTATAGCTGTTCCCAGGACAGCAAAGCAGACTGTAAACATCAGTTATCCACCATGTGTGATTGTGTGATTTGATTTCTCATTGTGGTCACTCTAGCTGCTCGACCAAAGACGAGTGTCCAAACTCTACTTGGATCTCCATTCCTGAAGATTCTTTTCAGAAAGAGCTGATTTCTGTGATTGTAACTGAGGTAAATGTGTCTCTTTGACAGTTATTGTATCTTTGTTTTACAAATATTTTTAGACAATATTTTTATCCAGCACTGTACTTTCTCACTCAGGTCACTCTGAATCTCACCTTGAATGTGGAGGGAACAGAAAAGCCTCCCTTAACATGTACTTTTATGGATGAAGATGTAAATAGTGGAAATCTATGTAATAGTGAGGCTGCAGTTTTCCCCAGCTGCTCCTGTGAATTCTCCAGCCAGCGACTGCCAGTTAATGGTCAGTTTAGATCTTTATAGCTCTGAACTTTTAATTTCCATTTCCCATTATGAAAGCCTTTGCTGTTTTAAATTATTTTTCATACTGAAAGGAGTGTAGAACTGTATAACTGTAGATATCTCAGAAAAGCATATTTGAATATGCAATACACAAAAAATCTAATGATATTCATTTAAATCATTTGAGAGTCTCTGACACTTTCTCAGTATATAAACATGATAATCTGAGACAATATAACAGAAAGTGATCATACTAAAACAGAAAGTGTTTTCTTTTGTATGTCCAGTCACAGCAACTGTCACTATTGGAGATCAGAAAATCACAGAGAGACTGAAACTGAGGAGCTGCCCAAACATCACAGAGACATCATCATATGCTAAGTAAGACATTTTACATCATAAAAGCCTTTTAACCTACAGCCTGTCATCATACTATTTGTCTGGTAGTTTGAAGCATGTTGGATCACTTTGGGTAATGTTTGCCAGTATAAATAGAACCTTTACCATTATCATTAAACATCTTCATATTTAACCTGCATTTATTTAAAGTGGATGTTTGCATGGGCAGAATATACCAGAGAATAAATTCACAATAAAGTCACTGTCCAGTCTTGTTTGATAGCAACGAATTTCCTGGTTGATCACAGGCAGCAGGAATATTATAACAACTATTTTACTTTCATACCATTACTTTTTCAAAATATCATTTATCTTTTAATACTTTCAACAATGCTGTTTATATGGTATATGACTGCTGGCTATTAATTTGATGTTTTATATCCTGGGAAAGGAGGCCCCGCCTATGTAGCTTACATTAACATCTGAAAAACATGGTGTTAAACTTATTCATAGGAATATGGAATATTCACCTGAACACCGCTTCACAGTATACACATAAAAAACCTTAACATGTGCACACTACATACACTGAAAAAAGGTTGTTGAATTTAATTAAAATACTTACATATAGCAATTATGATGTAACGTAGCATATTTCTTTCATGTAGAGCCAACTTACACATTTGAATGAAGTACATTTAAAGCAACTTTTAAACATTTTTCTTTCTGTGCAGGTTGTAAACATTAAATTCATGATAGTCAGTTTACCTTCCTTTTCTGCTTAGAAACTGGAGGTCACTTTTGTTTTGCTGTGTTGACTGTCAGGTTTAAATATTAAAACATGAAAATGTATGTAAGTTTCAAATTATCCTAAATTTACAGTCAAAGTTTCAACTGATTCTGTGATTCTCTGTTAAGGCAGGTTAAGTTGTTTGGTTTGGTTCAGCAAGGGTGTGTGTGTGTGTGCGTGTGTGCGTGTGTGCGTGTGTGTGTGTGTGTGTGCGTGTGTGTGTGTGTATTGTATGCAGGTGTGTAGCGTGTGTCTCAGCTGGGTGTCATTGGTCCAGCAGTAGTAAACAGTGCAGCTGGTCTGATGGCTCTGCTTCACAGGTACTTATTCACATCTAATTCATTTTAATATACTATAATAACCTTGTAGATCATATTACACACTTATTTGTACTCCAGTGCTGAAAAATCCACACAGATTTAATTCATGGTTATTGTGCACACTATAGTAACTATATGTGTGGTCTTAAAATTTGGTTCAGTGAAATCATGTTTTTATACTATATTTTATTTAAAAGTTCCAAATGAAGAAAAATTATTTTATTTTTATTACGTTTAGGTGGCAGTGATGGTGAGTTAACAGTTACTAAATCACTTAAACTTCAAATTTAGCATTTTTGAATTCAGTGATTTAAACAAGGCAAAAATCTATTTTAATACTAAAATGAAGTTCTTTCTGTTATTTATTTCCCTCCTCTGTAGGACGTGTGTGAAGGATTATCTTCTGGGAGTAATGCAGTAAGTGACCCACAGAACTGTTACTCACAGTGTCAGTGGAAATAAGATCTGTGTCTGGGGGAAGTTTAGGGTTTGAAAAGGGAACTAAGAATGAGAAAAATCTTGTTTTTCAGCAAGAATCATAGTACGATGGCTCTATGATGGCATTTCTCTTTTGTATGTTACAGATTTTATTCAACTAAAATAAGATTTATTTTTTTTATTTCAATTTTTAATTTCATTTTTTACTTTTATATATCAACAAATGTCAACAACACTGCTGTTAAATAAATAACATTTCTGCACGCAGATGACACAGCACTTCCTAACTGGTTATTTGTACACATTGTGATGCAGGAGATTTCATATGAAGGGTTGATTTTATAGTTTCAAATTTCTCTTTTTTATCATTTTTTCTAGCCAGAGATTTTCTCCCTGGAGCCTAATCAGGTTTCCTTTCACGGCAAAAAACATGCAGCGCTGAAAGGAAAAAATCTGGATCTGGTCGAGAAAATTCGTTTTCAGGGATTCATGGAGTGCACTTCAAAGGAGTGAGTGTTCCCAGCAGTGTATTTAAATGTGTGTGTGTGTGAGTGTGTGTGTGTGTGTGTGTGTGTGTGTGTGTGTGTGTGTGTGTGTGAGTGTGTGTGTGTGGGTGTCTGCATGCATAGTACGTTTGATTTGTGTCTCTGTGAATCTGCTGTTTTTCACCAGGACTCCAGTGTTGGAGCGCTCCACTGACACTCTGAAGTTCAGTATTCCGAGCGGAAATAAAGGAACTGTAAGGGTGTGTGTGATGACAGCAGACGGCCGTTGTCATAGTAACGCCACCATCACTTATGGCGCCCAGCCCACCTGTACTGGACTGCAGCCTAAGAACACCTGGGCCAGGTACAGCACACACTGTATATCTTTGTGTAGAACCTGTTTCTACCCACATTTTTAATTGAAATACTGTTTTTTTTAAGACAATCATGTGGTTCCTGTTTTAAGATAACTAATGCACAATGAAAAATCTGGCAAGATACTAATGCTTTTTTATTTCAAAACCATACACATCATAATAGCTTCCAACACCACTGATATGCATTGCATTCATTAAGTGGGAAAGCAGAAAATGAAAAGGATTTAACTTTTAAAAATGCAGAACTCAGCAAACGGTGAGACACTGGAGGTCTGCGTTCTGGATGACGAGACTAAATGAAAGTAAATTCATTGAGTGGCACGCTTACTTAGCTATCTCTACTGAGTTGTAATACACTGATCTGGTCGAAGGAAAAGTTATCCATTTATTTAGACTGGAGAAACAACAGCAACACCCATTAGCCCTCATTCTGTAGCAGTCTTGAAGATGCTAATTGTGTTTTGCTGTCTTCACTTCTCTTTTCTCAGTCTCTAGTAATTTTGACTGTGTTTACACTTCGGCCGTGGACATTAGGCTAACAAATTACTTCTGTTTTATAAGTGGAAATGTGGGCCAGTGTTTCTTGATTTGCTTCAGCTAAAGGTTTGCTAATTTTGTCCTCACTTCCTTCTGACTCACTTCTAGTTATCAGAATTCACTGGTTTAGTCTCCTTCAACTCCCACCTCTGCTGTTCTGAATCCTTTCTCTGATTGACTGAATAAGCGTTTAATGTTTTTCTTTCAGTGGTTGGAGGAAGATCCAAGTGTTGGGGAACAATCTGGAGTTTGTGGATGAAGTTACTGTTCATTTATCTCTCAAACCGATCACCCTCAACTCAAACATGGTATATAAGTGTGCTTTGCTTGCTTATGAAGTAGATGCAACACAGGATGTCAAACAACATTTTATTATTATGTAACTTGCAACAAGAAAAACAAAATGGGGGAAAACAGAAAGGCTCAGAAATGCACATATACATGGCAAACCATCCATCACTAATATTAAAATCTGATCTACTTTTCTGTTTCTCTCAGACCTTTTGGTTCCACACTCATAATCAGAGAGAATACATGGGCTCTGGGCCATTCAATGTCTCTCTCATGGTGGGAAACTCAAAAGTGGAGTGTGCAGATGAACTGTCTTACCTCCCAGATCCAGAATTCACCAGCTTCTCCACCTCTAAAGTGGACAATGATGTGCTGGTCACCATACAGGTAGGGTGAGCATTTTGGGTGTCATTTCAGACATACAGCTTTTTGTACCTGTAATAAAAGCTGATGAGCCTTATCAGTTGAAAAAAAATGAGTGCCCAATTTTGCTCTTTCTTGCCTGATTCTACTCACAGTGGGATTGATAAATAACTGATGAGACTGACCAAATCTATATCTCTCTTTCTCTATATCTCACTATCTCACTCTCATTCTCCCCCACTTTAATATTCTTCCACTAGAAAACAGAAGACATGCTCAGTATGAGTAAAGAAGAGATGATAGTGTGGGGGCTGCAGGAAGAGAAGAAGTTTGAGTGTGTGATTGACACAATTAAGTCCACTGCTCTCACCTGCAAAATTGCGGGAGAAAATGGACGTGAAATCAGAGTGAACTCACTCATGGTATGAACACTTAGTCTGTTATCACTTTATGATCGACTGTAATGTCCCCATTATAGTATGGCCTAAATATCTATCATTATTGCTTTACTACTGCGTCTACATCTAATTTTTTTCATCTTTTTTTCAGATCATGGTTGGCAATTTTACAAGCACTATAGAGATGCCATTGAATAGTACAAAATATGCGTATACAGTTGTCGCATTAATTGTTTTGATTCTTCTTGGTGCTCTTGGTGAGTACTGAGCTGTTTGTAGGTTTGGTGTTTACGTTAACCATTGTCTATGGTGGCTACTGAGTCATCTAGTTGCTTAGTTAATGTCTGGATGTGTGTACCTTTGTCTAGTTGGAGCATTCATCCATCGTAAGAGCAAACAGCAGATGAGTGCACGAATGAATGAGCGCCTGGAGCTCCTTGAGAGTGAAATTAGAAATGAGATCAGACAAGGTCAGTAACTGAAGATACACTAAACACGGCACCACATACAGTGTGGTCTACTGAAAATCTGGGATTGTCTTAATCGTAGAAATAAACAATAGAACATTTTAGAAAAAAAAAACAGACAGTTTATGACAAATAAAATAAAGTATAAATGTTCAAAGTTCTGCTCTATTTCTTGAGCACTGTTCAAACTGAAGCAAATTTGTGTCACTGACCATGTTGTACAAAAAGGATTTTTTGTTTAATCTTATTCCTTCTAATGAAGCTTGTGTTCAGACAACTCCCAGGTGGATTTGATGTACTCATCAGAGGTTGTCACTGTGTGATAACTTTGTGATTAGAGTCTGTACCAGCTCGAGTGCATGCTGAAATTAAAGCAAAAGTGGGAAAAAAATACTAAAATATTCCAAAATTCATTGAAACATTTCAGAGATTCTACTGTCCACTTAGATGCTGATAATTTAATTTGTAATGAAACAATTTGTATTAAATTAGAAAAGAATGCAAAATAGAAACACTTTCACTAGCGGCCTCAGACTTTTGGTCTCCCTGTATTTATTACTTATTTTCACAAGAAACCACCTCAAAACAGACATGCCCATAAATATTTGAGTGTCATAAGCATCACACAGATAAAGAATATTTGTGTCATTTAGAAGATCTGTTGGAGCTCTATATGGTGGAGTTTTTGACCCCAGTTCTCATTACTTTATTTATATATATATATTATATATTAACTTACAGAAGTATAATTTTTGTTTTTCTTTTACATGCAGGGTTTGTGGATTTACAGACTGAGAAATCAGACCTGACTGAAAATGTTGGAGCCATTCCTTTCCTGGACTACAAGCATTTTGCTTTGAAAATATTTTTTCCTGAGGTTTGTGAACTCTCATTTATCTATCTGTTGTCTGCTGACTTATCAGTAAGGGGGTGTATGAGCTAGTAAGGTTGTGTAAATTATTCACATGTTCCATTCTGCTCTGTGTTTAGGGTGGGCCTTTAGCAAGCTTGATGATCAAAGACATTGGCCAGGTGAGATACTGTTACTGTAAAACCTCATTAGCTCTTATAAATTTGAAAATCTGTTTATTTGATTTGCTTAATTAACTTAAGCTGAAGGTATTTTAATTTTAACAAAGATTATTCAAAGTCAAAAATGACCCACAGTTGGTCTTTGACCTAATGGCTCCTTTTCAGGAAGATGTGGTTTGACACTGAAACAGAAATGATCACGTGTGAATGCTCAAGTGATTCATGCGACAGATATATTTAGGATATTATTGAGCTGAATTTTAGAGGCTTTGCATGTTAAATACAAAGACCTAGGTATTATGCAGCTTTACCAAAACAATCTGCTAAACAAGTGTTCAAGTTGGCAAACTTGATCCAACATTGTAGCACACACTTGAAAGGAAAAAAAATATCCTATTTACAGTACATACATAGTGAGATAAAAGGCTGCTATTTTTATGTAAATCTCTCAAGAGGTATGTTATGAAATACAAAATCCATATTACAATGAGAAAAAGTATCTTTTTTGAAAATGCTATTCTTCAATGACAAATATTTATATTTGAAATTATGAATACAGAGCCTTGCAAAAGAATTCAGCTCCCTAAAAAGTAATTAGATACATCGGGATTTCAAATAATGGTTTGAAATTTGTGCTGTGTCATATTTTATTTTAGAAGATTGACCATGAAAATGGATAAATTTAAAGTGATGTTGGTTTTATGTAAGAATTTCAAGCGGATTGTGTGACAAAAATTATTACCTGAAAGGTACTGTTTGCATAAGTATTCAACCCATGTGCTGTGGAAGCTCAGTTTACACAGATGAAAAATACTTTTTTTTGGATACAATGAAAATTCAATTCAAGTACCATTGGAATCTGAAGGAAAGCTGTGAAAAATGAAGACCAAAGAGCCTCGAAGGAAATTAGAGATCGACATGCACAAGATAGGAGAATGCCACAAAATAATATCCATTATTTTCTGAGGATGCACCAATGTATCCTTCTCAGCCCTGAGTTCCCATGAGCCTCTGCATCACAAGCTACTAGGATAAAGGAGCAGAGCCAGTTTGGAAAAAACAAGTTTTTAGATGTATGTTGCCTTCATTTGTTCTTAAAAAAAACACCAGTTTAGCACATAAATGGCTGTAAAGGATGCTGTGTCCTGTTATTATATGGACGACAAGCTATATTTTTAGCATTGATGTGTAGAGTTGCCAGTATTTCAGACTCGCTCACATTAGTTTAAGTATGTAAGTGAGAGTGTTAATATTTTAGGAAAGACGGCAAACAACAAGGGAGGCAAAGATATATCTGAGCCCAAAACTGAGCTCTTAATTAAAATAAAACTACTTACTAGCCATAGCTGAATCTGAAGTTACACAAGCTGAAGCTACACAAGTTACAAATAGATGAACAGATGCTGTTAACTAACATTAACTAATCTGCATGGTGACAGTTCAATATGAGTTGTGATTTGTGGCTTTGTGCTGAATCTCTTCACATGCACAAAAACACTGCAGGCATGGACAGGGATAAGTCTTGTTTCATTGATTTAATTTTAGCTTGCGTTTTAAAAAAAATGCTTTTTATTTACCTCAAAAGCTGCCTTCCTCAACTCTCGCTCACTGTTCTCACACCTCAAACTCAGCATCATAGCTGATCAGGGGTCAGGGGTTATGACATTGCCTTCCAGCACATTGTTTAAAATGAAACTGATCAGAGTAGTGTTATCTCCAAACTTAATAAGTTTAACAGAATCACTACTAGAAGTGCAGTCATTGGTGTAGAGAAAGTAGAGCAGGGGAGAGAACATGCATCCCTGTGGAGCACCAGTGCTGAGGCAGAGAGGGCGACATACCGTTTCCTGTTAGACAAGAAGTTGTGGATCCAGTAGCAGACAGACGGTGGGACACTGCCAAATTATCTATTAAAAGGTCAGGAATTATGGTGTTGAGATCTTAAAGCATGCAGGTACAACAGACTTGGTCAGGGACTGATTAAAGAAATCAGTGTTCAAAGCTGTTCAGAACAGTGCCTCTGCACTCTGCCTCTTTTGCTGTAGGTGACCATCAGTGTCTGCTGCTTTTCTAATCTTATGTTTCCTGAGAACATGGCTGACCTGCCATTTAGTAATGGTGATAGGAGGTGGTGGGTGGAGGTGTGAGGGGTGAAATGTGAAGAGTCTGTAGACAGTGTGTAGCAGACAGAGTGAAGTTAGGCTGGAAGGAGATGTCATTTATATTTCAAATCTTAAATAAGTTATTTAGCTGGTTTGGGAGCAGGGGGTCTGCTGCTACAATTGATGCTTTAGGCTTGTAGTTTGTTATGGTTTGGAGTCCTTTCCAGATGGAAAGTCGTTTGATGAGTCCAGATGAGTCCAGACATTCCCTCAAATTCTTCTATGGCTTCAGGAGACCACATTCTCATTGATTTCAACTCAGGCTTAATGGTTGTAAGCTTTTGCCTATATGAGGGATGAGGGACTGATCAAAGTTTGCAAGAGGGGCATGGAGAGTAGCCTGGTATGTGTCCGTGATGGTGCTGTAGCAGTGGTCAAGTGTTTCGTCCTCTCTGGTGGGGCGGCTCATCAATTGTATATATTTTGGGAATTCAGAACTCAGATTGGTCTAAGTCTCCCATAATGGTGATAGGAAAGTCTGGGTGTCCCTGTTCGACTTCAGTGTTCTGGCCAGCCAGCTGTTGTTGAGCTAGATTGGCTTGTGCCATTGGGGGAACATAGATCCAGACCAGAATTATACAGTTAAATTGGTGGGAAGAGTAGAGTGACCTGCAAATGGTAAGAGCTTCCAGTTACAGTTATATCTGTGCACCAACTGTGGTTAATGTAAAAAAACACACTTGGGTTTCTGACTGAGAGTGGGGTTGTGGTCCGCTCTGTACAGTGTTGAGTGAGTGCGTCTTGGAAAGAAATATTCCTGTCGAAAGCCAGGTCTCTGAAGTCACAGGAGGACAGCTGGTGATCTCCTAATGGGTTAGTTCGAAGGGTATACATGCAATATCTGGAAAATTATTTTGTGGTGTTCAGCCCCTGAAGTATAGGTGCTCATTCTGGTCGAAGTTAGTCGAACTGTGACATCATGCACAAGTTCAACAACTAAGACAAACAAACACATGAGACATCAAAACACCGTAGCTCTCTCAGAGCACCATTTCAGTCACAAGCGACTCTTAACTTGTCAACATTAAAATGAGTTACTTTGAAGGGTATACATGCAAAGTCCTGAAAGTTATTTTGTGGTTTTAAGTCCCTGATGTATAGGCTCTCATTCTGGTTGAAAGTAAGTCGAACTGTGGCATCATGCGCAAATTTAACAACTAAAACAAACAAACACATGAGACACCAAAACACTGTGGCTGTCTCTCAGAGCACCATGTCAACCAAAAAGAGAGCAACTCTTGTCAAAACTTGACTTTTGGCCATTTAGTGTATGTAAATTACATTTTGGTCGTGGACAGGTTTTATTAGAGGAATTTGGGTTTTTCTTGTTTTTTTTTTTTTGCATACTAAGTGCCTGTTTTTGAAATATACCATCTGAGCTGGACTGCCGTTTTTTTCCGGCGTTAAGGTGCGTTTTGGTGACAAATTGTCCTATCTTGTCGAGGTTCCCTATTGTAGTACACATTTAAAGGTAGCTACCCTCATTAAAACTATAGTTAGGATGTTTTGGTATGCTAAATCACCTTATCACAAAACGCTGCCAGCATTAAAACTATAGGTAGAGTATTCTGATAAGTCTTATTCACCCTAAAAGTAGTAATATTAACCTTACTCTGTAAAATACAGTTCAAGTAAGGCTGAATTAATATTAAAAATAGAATAAATGTTCATAAAACTGAGTAATGATATACGCATGCGCAATAGCACGACGGGCAGGGCAAATTGCGCGTGCCTGGGTTATAACGAGTTTATGATAATAAAAACTGTTTTTATGTGTTTACCCTATTGAAAGTTAAAATATCGAGGTGATAAACAACAAAGACATTTTTTGTAGCTTTTTGCTTAGCTTTACCAAGAGTTTCAGGAATTCTGAAGGGCATTGTATGCAGGCGACATTATACAAATAGGATCGTTTTTTCAGGATCAGAAAAAGTGAAGTCTTGTGAAGAACAGAATTTTGCACAGTTTCACTGTTTCAACCTCATTGAATGTGAGAGGATTTTGTAAACCTGTGTTCTCTGATTGTGTTCTGATTAGGATGCAATGAAAATAGAAGCGGATGAGAAATGCCATGCTCTTTCTGCGATGATCCGAGATCAGATGTTCCTCACCTGTTTCATCCATGCTCTGGAAGAACAGAAAAACTTCAGCATAAAGGACAAGTAAGTGGTATTTACCAGGCAGCAAAGGCAATTGCATTGCAAACCAAAGTCATCTGAGATCAGATATGCCACTTCATGCAGATTCATCTAGGGCAAGAGTATTCACTTCTGGTCCTGGAGGCCTGGTGTTCAGCACAGCTTGGTATTTTTCCTACTCTAACACACTTGATTAAACTTATTAGTTAACTGGGAGGCATAGTAGGTGTGTTAAAGCTGGGAATCCTTCAGGATTATCACCTTAATATAGGTTATAGAAATGCTCCTATGCTAAAAGTTGGTGAAGAGCTCTGTGCCTGTTTGAGCATCTCTCTTTCTCACACTGGTTCTCAGGTGTGTAGTGGCATCTCTGTTGACTGTAGCCCTGCATAGTGACCTCCCATATCTAACTGAGCTAATGGAAGACCTGCTCCAAAGTCTGATGGATCTGCCCAGCAATGCTCAGCCCAAACTTCTGCTACGCCGTACAGAATCCATTGTGGAAAAACTACTCACCAACTGGATGTCCATCTGCCTCTATGGCTTTCTCAGGGTCAGTATATCCTTTCAGCTATCCATCCATGAGGAACGGATTATGGGGCCCCTTATCACAAGTGCCTTTTGAGGCCCCTCCACCCATCCATTGTTTACTGGAAAAAAGTAATGCATTGAATTTACTTGATTCAAAGATCAAACTTTACATCAATGTAACTAACTGGGAATTCCATCAAAAGGAGTTGAGATGTCAATTCATGCTTTGATGTAAAATAGTCCATTGTAGAGAAACTTGCCGACTCAGATTCCTTTACAGTGGTGCTGATAAGTACAATTCACAGTGTCTACAACACAAATATAGCCATTTGATTTACTATCCAAAACCAACAGTGAACATACACGTGTCTTCAGGTGTTCATATATAATGTTGAAAATGGTAAATTAGTGGTAAATCTGAAAAAATAGTTTTTTTGGGAATGTTATAAAACAGTGTTTCAGGAATCAGGCAGCATATTCATAACCATTTCATGCAACACTGTTTAGAGGCTTTAAACTCTTCAGACATCTGGTTCCCATCACCACCACTGTGAACAATTCTGCCTCATTAAGTTTCTGTAGAACAGAGCATTTCACATCAAACCACTTTAACTGACTTTGTCTATCTCAGCCATTTAATTATGCAGAATTTTTTTGAAAGATCTGTTTTTTTGAAAACCCCATTTAAGTACATGCATCACCCATCAGTTATGGTTATAATATTTTGATATTATCTGTAAGCACAAAGTGCAAAGTGTGTTTATCTTTGGTCGATCTATATATGTGAATGTGTATGTTCCTCTAACAGGAGTCAGTTGGGCAGCCTCTGTTCCTGCTGGTGTCTGCTCTCACCCAACAGATTTCGAAAGGGCCGGTGGATGCGGTGACCGAGAAAGCTTTGTATACTCTAAATGAAGACTGGCTCTTGTGGCAGGCTCAAGGCTTCAACTTTAGCCCTCTGGTTTGCACTGTTTCTTTTTCTTCCTCTTTCTGCTGTGAACATTTTTAGGGCTGTCTCAGTGAGTCCAGGGTGTTCTTCCTCCTAACTTGCAACACATGTTAAGTCATTTTGCATGTAATTTGCAGTACATAAAACAACTCCAGTGTTACACTGTCATGACTATTCACATCCTTTATCCCCTCAATCTCTTATTGCATTAGGTCTCAATCTATCTTTAAGCTTTCTGTCAGCATACAATGGATTTAGTTTAGGCAGCATAAGCTAAAATACTACATAACTTAACTGCTATACATCTGAATGAATATTGTTGTCCTCAATTATTGTTATACTTATTTTTACACTGTGCATATCAAAGACCTGTGGCTTTTGACACCTCACAAAGAGATAACAGACAACTTGAAGGATAACTTTTAGGACTTTTATTACGCCAGTCTTTCTTAGACCAATTGTCTGTACGTGATCTTAGCCCGCTTACAACAAAATAGTCCTTATCAGAGCCTTTCTGAGTGAAACACCTGAGCATGTGGAACATGGGGGCCTATTTCTAAACGGCACTTGTGCAATGTGTTGCTCTGTTTCCTGTGCAGGAAATCTTTCTCAACGGTCATCCAGGCCTCCTCTAACAGGAAAGACCAAGACCTACCATGAGTAGTATTTCAAGTTGCCACATATTAAGTTCCATGTGGAAGTTCCCCTAGAGCATTTTCCAGAACTGAACAGCATTATCTGTTTTAGAATCTGTTGGTAGAGTCAGTTAACAGGACTGGCTTATGGTGGTTTTGTATAAGTCTATACTTACATTTTGTGTCTTTACTTAGTCCTTAGTTAACAATAGTTATTCAGACTATTCTTTTACCAAATTTGGTTGCACCATAAATCATGTCTTAACTAATTAGAACTACATTCTTAAACCGTATCATGATGATAACATTCAGAACCTATAAACAGAACCTAGAATCTATAAACATGCATGAAAACAAAACGGCAGCTTGCACTGACTTTTTCCATTGGAAAAAAATGTCCTATATGGAAGAGAATGATGTGTGAAGTTGAACTGAAGTTAACTGAATACTGTAGCCACAGTCGGTTTATTCCTTAATATTTTCTTGCCACAACCAAATATCCAGCTTTTAAACTTCGGATCCTGGCTAACTGACACAACAGCAGCATCAGCTTAGACGTTTCTGAAGCTGCTGAGTCTCACTGAACTGGAGCTGTGTGTGTTAGCTTCATGTTTGGAGTTAAAACCAGGATAATGATTAGAGCTGAAAGTAAATCACAGCAGTGATATAACAATAAAACAGTGTTTTTGGCTTAGTACACAGACGTATTTGTAGTGCTTTCTATGTGGTTTGTGTTGGTTTATCTAACCTGCTTAGGGAAAGGCATATATATTTAGTTGATACTAAGCTCAGTGTAAAAACTAGATTATGTGGTGAAGCTCATTTTGATTTAGTAATGTGTACACCTGAATTTTAAAAACACTTCTGTTTCCACCAGCCTTCATTTGAACTTACATGCAGCTGGTGCAACCAGCCCCTGCTGGTCTATGCAGGTTTTTGCAGCAGGATAGTTGCAAACTATCCTTTTACTAAATTTGGTTGCGCCACACATTGTTAAGTCATGTCTTGTGACTTAGTTAGTAAAAAGTAACAGCATATAGCATTCAGTGTTTTTAGCTTAGGTAGCCACAAAAAGGTCATTTTTGATGTTGTTGTGCTCTCTATGTGGTTTCTTTTGGTTTCTCAACACTTACATCTGATTAGTAAGGTTAATATTTAGTAGATACTAGGCTCAATGTAAAAATTAGATGGTGGAACCCTTTTTGATTCAGTATTGTGTAAACCTGAACTTTGTATGTTCCTATAGCCTATGTACCTATATCTGATACAACCGGCCCCAGATTTTATTTGAGGTCTATGGACTTTCAGCGGTTTGTTACAGTATACGTACACACATGCACATGTCTTCAGGTTAGGGATGTTTATGTAATCCACATTCTTCTATTTTGTATAAACACTAAATATTGTGGAATTTAATTGCACACTATTTAGAAATTAATGATCTTTTAGTGTCATCAGTGCGGTACCCAGGTTGTTTAGTGTTTTTGTGTCAGAAGAATAACTTTAAGCTCACATGATCATTAAATCCACACAACTTTCTCTGCTGCGTCTTTCAGAAGCTGAAGGTGCTGTTTGCTGTGGGGACAGAAGGAGAGGTCAGCGAACCCCTAGAAGTCAATGCACTGACCTGCGATACTATAGAGCAGGTGAAGGAAAAGATTTTGCAGACCTTCCAGCGCAAGTTTGGCTTCCCATATACTCAACAACTGAGAGAGATCGACATTGGTGAGTAGACTTGCCTCTCAATCCACTCACCTTGCAATCTGGTATTACATAAACAGCATACCTCTTAAATAGAAAACATCTACTTAAGTTCACACAAAGCACTTTAATGACTTAAGGGGCCCAAAGAAAACCTAACTTTCTTTGCTTTTTTTTTAAATAAGTAGTTTAAGGTGTTCTATGTAGTATATAAACAATGTTGAAGTTTCAAAACTTGCCATTTATAACCCAGTCCGTACAGTCCATATATGGAAACAGCTGCGGAAAACAGCCTGTTTTGAATTCATTATTTCTGTGATGTCACGAGAACCAACACAGTTGCATATATTCAGCCTACAGCAGTTCTGCTCCACCCATTCATGCAGTCGACTGCTTTTTGAATGAGGTGCAAAACAGGGCAGCCAGTTACAAAACCAGTCTGTGTTTCTTAATAACAACAGTAATAAAAATAGGACAGTTGTAGTAATGATGTAGTTAACCATTATAGTACAGTCGATATCAGGCTTTCAGCATGCAAAAGCGTGCAGCATGATGCACACACAACATTGATAATACAGACTGATAATATTCAAGTGCTTTATACATTATTGCAAACCATTATCTAAATCTCTACAAAGCATGGACACTTCATGTTTGTGAACTGAATGTTCACACTAACTACTGTGGTATGTTTCAGATCAAAAATGACTCTAATGTTTGCTCCATGCAATCTATAGTGCTGTAAATATCAGGCTTTCAGCGTGCAAAATAGTGCAGCATGATGCACACACAACATTGATAATACAGACTGATAATACTCATGTGCTTCATACATTATTGCAAATCATTATCTAAATCTCTAGAAAGCGTGGACCCTTCATGTTTGAGTCATCACACCAACTTGTGGTGTGTTTCAAATCAGAAATGACTCTACTCTTTGCTCTGTGCAAGCTAGCAGATGATCTGTCAAGCACAAATAATCCAGCAGTGGTGGGTCCATCCTTACAAAGTTCTTCTCACTGTAAATAAAGTAGACTGATCTTGCTATTAACAGTGTAGACCTAAAGGTCAACTGTGGTTATGTCACCTCATATCTGATGTTTATCTCTGTTTGTCTTGTCCACTGTGGAAGAATATGAGAAAGAAGGAAAGTATGTGCCTTTAGAGGAAGTGGATGGAAGCTCAGAGGTCCAAGGGGAGGTGACCATGCTAAACACACTCCAGCATTACCAAGTAAGTGTCCGTTTATGCTCAGGAAACTGGCTAATCTATAAAGAGGTCAGCTTATGGAAACCACAAACGGCTGTGACACTAGCTACCACTGCTCATTTGTGTGGGGTTTGTTAAGCAGCTCACTGTTAAATCGCAAGACCTTTGCCCACACTGATTAGCCTATTTATCTCAGTGCTGAACATTCACCTCGTTTGAGGCCTTTTAAATTTAGGCTTTGCCGTTGTGTCACAAGACCAAGTAAACCCAGTATTACATTAAAGACCTCACCTAATACATTCAAAACTGCCTCACATCAGCAGCATTTTCAACACTGCAAAGCTGTTTTTGTGTAAATGCACAAGCAAGGCTTGTTTTTTCTCCACAGGTCCCCGATGGAGCCTGTATTAAAGTCATGACCAGAAGGGTCCATGCCCCTCTCAGTCCACAGACAAGTGTAAAGGGTGAGTATAACATTATTTCCAGTTCAGATTTTTCAATCAAGCTCTCAAGGACCCCCAGCCAGGCCACATTTTTAATCTGTTCATATTCCCATCACACCTGAAGCCTAAAGCTGCAAAAGTATTTTGTAATAAGTACTGCAGTTGCAAGGGACAGAAAGCTGTTCATTCAGAAACACCAAAATCTAGGCAGTTATTCTACAGTACTCTGTTTAATTAGTGCCTTGTAACTTTGTATTACATTATGTGTTACTATTTATGAGTCTTCATATTGGTTCAAGATGCACAAAAGATTTTATTAACAGAACGCAAGCAAATTGGTCAGACATAACAATAGAAATGTTCTGTATAGATCATTGGGAATGCTGTCTTTAATGTTCTGTCATGTAAATAGAAAACTCTGGCAGTGTGAAATCACTGGCTGGTGTTAACTGGCTCACTTTAAATCTGTGTATAGTCTAGCCTATAGGCGCTCCAAAACCTCAAGGAACAAAAAATATCTTTCAAAATATTTCAAAAATACTTCAAATTACCAGAAAAGAAGAAAACCTCTTGCTGCACTCCAGTCATTGCATGGAAGTCTTAAATTCAGCAGTTCAGCAGCACACCTGATTTAACTGAATGAAGGTTGGATTAGCTAAAACAGAATGTAACTGTAAATACTGGACTTCCTCAATGAGAGATTTGGAAAGATAAAGCACTGACTCAAACTCACAATGTATTGTTTATCTGTATTTTTTGTAATGTTAGGGTTTTTTTGAACACATATGTAGCATTGGCTTTGCATAGCATTTTCTCAGGTTATGCTTTTAGCACAGCACTAAGGCCTGCTGGCACAATGCTCCTATGTTTTATGCTCATTGTGAGATCCTATTTCCCACTTGCAACAAGCAGGCTCAGTGTTTTCCATCTTAACCGGTTGGTGTCGTCTAGACACTTATTTGATCTCTTATCGGCCAGGGCACCATGGTAGCTTTCAGTAAATGTTAAGCTGTGAGCAGACTCATCTTGCGGCAGAATTTTGTTCTTGAAGTCATGTTGACGTTGCGCTGTATTGGCCTGTTTTTTTCTGTTTCTCGGCTGTTGCTGAAAGCCACATTCAGATTCATTACAAATTATTTATTATAGCATGGCATGTAGATGAGAATATAGGTGAGTCAAAGTGAGCCTGGTATTAGCAGTGGTGTCACACTGTCACATTATTTGCTATGAAGTGTTCTGAGTAATATGCCCCTTTTGTTTACCCCACCCTAAACAGTGCTTTGGTCTTGTATGTGGTGAATAATGAACTGTGAGTAAGTAGCAGCTTCACTACCACAGTGCTTTTTGTACCATGCATTACAGTTTGAAAGGGGTATTTCTGTTCAAGTGTTGATCATGGCGCCATCAAATTTCACACATGTGTTTCTTTTTTAAGAACGGCGGTTCCTTCCTTTTTTTGTAACCTGCATACAGGCTGTGTGTAGTTTTTTTTCTGGTGACTCAAAAGGCACATGATAGACTTCTTAGCCATTATACATAGTCTGCTATACTGTGGAATGATTGAGGCATAGTTTCTGTGTATTTCACAGACACATTATCATGAAAAGTCTTCCTGTTAAGTGCCGCTGGGAGCTCTGTGGATCTATGCCTATATTTAGGATTTAGGATATGTTTATACTGTGTTGTACTGTTTTTTATATGACTGTTCAATTAAGACTAGACTAAGCTTAGTAAAGCTAGGCCCTTCAAACAACTCCCTAGTAATTTTTTGATTATTTGCACTGATGCAGAATGTAAATCATCGTTAATTGTAGTTTCAAGTGACTTTAATCTACTAGCAATTGACAGCCATGCTTGTGCAGATTTTGTTGTTTGGTTTGACTCTACATTTCCAGCTGTACAGAATAAGGAAGTATGAATCGTAACAGGGCCAAAAAACCGCACTCTGTATCTGCATGTTGTCTGTCTGCTGGGGAAAGAAGCAGTAACATTTACCGTTTGCTTACTTCTGCATGTTATTTCCCCATGTTAAGTAATGCAGGTTAACATCACATTAATACTGCCCAAAAGAGCAGGAATGCAAAGTGCTGTGGTTTCAGGTTTGCCAGGGTGTGACAGTATGTTCAGAGTGAGGTTTTAAATGCATCATGTGGACAGACAAATCCCACCCAATGATAAAACTGAGCAGTGTGTTAGATGATGTGTTCATATAACATACTTTTCTTTGGCAGTTACAACTAAGAAGGCACTATGTGCTTCAAGTCCCTTGCTGTAGTCTTGCTTGAAAAGCTCTGAGGGGGAAACACAAACTATCAGACCATTTAACTACAACAAATTTAGCTGTCTGTCATTCCATATACAAAACATTTTTTTTATTATTATTTTATAAGTGAAAATAAGTTAACACCTGCTCTACAGAGAACACAATTAAATAATAATACTGATGATAATAATAATAATAATAATAATAATAATAATAATAATAAATGAATAAGAGATATAAATCTAATTTATATAGTGCCTTTCTAAAGGATGCTTTACAGTAGTTACATCTGAACATTTTAATGTACAGTTATTTTTTATTTGCTGCTTTATTGTATTTAACATACCAGGGAAAGGATTAAGACATGTAATGTGGCCTGTGCAAAGGGTATGATACATGTTATATTTAAGTGTATTCCACCAACAAAATCTGTCCTTTGACCAGGGGCACCCAAACTTTTGGAGATTGATTTACTGTAAATCTGTAAGTGCATTCTTCTTTTGTTGGTGTTACAGATGATCAGGACTTCTCTACAAAGTACTTCCACCTGGTGAGTCATAATGCACTGTTTCTGCAATGCGTTTTGCATATACTGCGTGTGTGTGTGTGTGTGTGTGTGTTTGTGTGGGTGGGTGTGTTTGTACAGGACAGAAATGTTCTGACTTTATACCCTGACTTGATAGAGTAACCTTTAATGTCAGGACTAGCAACATGGTCCTGACCAGTGGTGTAGTCAGGCGTATACATATGTATATGTTATATACTGACTTTTTAATAGGACAGCTCACAAGTCACAGATAAGCTTAATGGAGCACAATGTGTCAGTTCTGTTATTAATAAACAATTCAATTGAGTCAGTCAGAGACCCGTCTATACAGTAAGGTTCGCTAGTGCCAGCTCTGTGATACTGGCAGCGATTCAGCAAGTAGTCAATTAGCAGTTTTGTAAAAGACTATGGCTTCAAAATAAGAACAAGGTACATGGCTCATTTTTTTCAATACTATGTAATGTAATTAATTAATTAATCAGTTCATTTGTGCAAGACTTTTGTGGAAAGTCAATTTTTCATCACAGTTTGTGTTTTCTACTTTTGTTTTCTGTGTTGTTCATATTGTGCAAACAAATAGATGCTTCATAATTAAAATTAAGTAATGCTCTACCGTAGTTCAGGTTCATAAAATGACAATTACAAAAGCCTTTCATGACATCTGTCATAAACTTACATAAACATTTATAAAGGCTCATTCTACTGAGTGGCAGTTGTCATAAAGACTGCCGGTATTATTTGGGTGGTGAATCTTTTTCAGCACTGCAGAGACACTGACGTGACATGTGTAGTGTCATAGTGTGGATCAGACACAGCAGTGTTGCTGGTGTCTTTAAACAGTTCACTGTCGCTGCTAGGCTGAGAATAGCCCACCAACCAAAAATATCCAGCGAACAATGGTCTTGTGGCCAAAAGCTAACCACTAATGATAGGCTAGAAAATGACTAACACAACCTGTGCAGCAACAGACGAGCTATCGTCTCTAGCTTTACATCTAGAAGGTCAATCAACAAGGTAGAAGTGTCTAATAGAAGTGGACACAGTGTTTAACTCCAGTGACACTTAGATTCCAGCAAACAAATTGTGACATAGTGCCTTCAAAGGGGCATTTAAAGTAATGCAATGCCAAAAGAAATGCTAATGTAGATAACAATAAAAGAAAAAGAAAAGAAAGTTAGCATGCTCTCACTTACATTTACTAAGTTGGCAGAATAGTCTGTTTATTATTAGCACCATTAGCATCTCAGGTGATGTTTCTTGGTAAGCAAACTACATTTGAGTTTCCTAGAATTATGAAGGATGTTACTAAAACTAATTTGAGATCATGTGCTGGGAAGCCACAACACCATATCATGTCTTTGACATTTTGAAGAAGTGAATGCTGCATTGACTGCTGACACAGTTGGAGATCATTCTGCAAACGAATGCTAGCTAGCACTTTAGAGTGAGTGGACAGTCATTCCATGATACACAAACTGCAAACCAAAGTGGGTGGGAAAAATCTTTCTTATTTGTAGAGAAAACTTATGAGATTAGTTTTTTTGTAACTTAAGATATGTTTAACCAAAAGGCCAAGTCAGTAATATAATTAATTTATTAGTTAATTCATTAATGAAATTAATGAATCACGAAGATGATCCAGAACAGAGGTACACAGCTCATGTCCTGTGACAGCCACAATGTGTTTAGACGTTAGTTTTGAAGGAAGTTAATGTGCTGTGTTGTGTGTGTGTGTGTTTTGAAGTTGTATTTTAGGCTGCCTATTGTTGTCTTTCTCCTTATATGGTCATGTTGTCACACCTGTTACTTGTCCTGTATACGCCGGGTCTAATCTTGGCATCAGTCCAGCTATAAAAGTGTGACAGCCCATTGTATAAGGGGGCTGGCTGGATGTCTGGAACCTGCGCGTGCAACAAATAAACTTCACCTGTCCAGACAACAGATTGAGTCTCTCGGGTTTGGATTCTATCAGTTTGAACCCTTCACATTAGGCCCTAGGCTTCACTAATTGGCCTCCTTCCATTGTTGTGGAGATGACATTTTATCTACTGCTGTTCATTACGATTTGTGAAAATTAATGACCAGTAGTTTAATGAGTTGTTGCAATTCTGTGATTCGTCAGATTGACCCAGACATCGATAGAGACGAGAGCAACCACCCAGAGAGGAAGAAATTGAAGCTCAAAGAGATTTACCTCACTAAGCTACTCTCAACCAAGGTAAGACTGATGAATGAATGGACAGATCCCTTACAGAAAAGTCACATGATTATCACATGTGAATAAATATTTGTAGCTTTTGCACACATCCAATGTTAAAAATGTGTTGTCATGTGTGAAAAAATGTGGAACCACACATAAAAACATGTAATCACATGTAAAAATGTGTAATAATAGTTAATGCAGTGGGTCTCAGGTGAGGTCCTAGAGACTCAGTCTCTGACTGAGACCTGATGAGCTCATGAAAGCATTGATAATTACCTGAAGAGTCAAAGAGGTGTATAGGAGCATTGAAAACACAACAGGACAGATTTACTTATGTTTTGCGAGATTTCCTTAACTTCAGCGCCACTGAAAATAAAGGGATTGTCACTGCTCTTCTGCGCTTCTGCCTCATTGCATATGAATTCATAGGATTTTCCCTCTCAAAGTGCAAAATGCTGGGAGGAGATTATTATAATGCATAAAAATGATTTACCTGGTTAATACTGATGGTTAATAATGACTGCATTATTCAACGCCTGTTAAAAGCTCTTATTTTTGTTGCTAACATGGCTACCATTGTTTGTGCTGCTCAGACAGATTTATTTGTTATAATTTTTGATGAAAAAAAAAAAAACACTTGTAAAGGGCTGCCATGCATGGAACATTATTCTAATTTGAAGAAGGAAGTAAAAAACAAACAAAATAGTTTTAGAAAAATAACTATGTTCTAAACTGCCTTTTCCTAATATTTTGCAAATATTTTACAATGTTAAAGCAGGTTTTTGCCTAAATATTGATTTGTCAGTTTCCTTGTCAAGCGATTGTTAAAATCTCTCAGCTGATACTGGAAATCTTCCGCTATGCAGTGCCTGCTTTATTAAAGATCCTCTTTACTTTTTGTGCTGTGGTGTCCGTGCGTTGTGGTTTATAAATGCATGTGGCAGAAATGTCACAGCCATTTTTTGATGGGCCGCATATAGGTGAGAGGTTATGCTCAACATCATATAGTTTTCAAATGACCTGAGTGCGCTCAATGAAAACAAGCTGGGTTTTTACAATTTTGCACAGCCTTCAAATGCACTCGATGCTGAAGTTCAGTTCTTCCCACCAGCCAAAGAAAAGTCAAAAATAATGACTTAATTTCAACAAATGTCTGATGACTTAATGTCATTTTTCTCCAAAAACAAAATAATCACATACTTTCTCTGTGATCAGAAATTCATCTTTTTCAAGTTGAAACTAAGAAGGATAAAAAGTGTTTTTCTCCTATCTGGTGGAAACAGACTCTCATACAAAATGCATGTGAGCCAAAGTGGTTATATTGTGCTGATCATACGGCAATTACATAGTTGCTCCTGTGTTTCTTTGCATGGAAGTTCTTAGTTGAAAACCCTCCCACAAAGTGTCTGTAGACTGTCAGTAATTTACACTTTTCTCAGCGCCTGTTCACACCTTGTGTTAACATGCGTTTTTGGTAATCGGATCACATTCGGATTTCACTTGACCGCACAAACAGCCAAGTGTAAACCATTCCCAAGGTGCATTGTGAGCGGATTACAGTCAGATCACTAAAACCACAGTCGGAAGTGGTCAGGGATACTTCACGACATTTAATGTAAGCGTAAATGGAATGTGTTTTCATTATCCGTATACAATAACGTAAGCAGAAATGCAGCTGCAAAGCGCTGACTAGCAGGTCAGATTTTAAACAAGGAAACAAAAGAGGGTATGCGAGGCTGGCTAGCCCAAAACCAAGAGCCTTCAAGCACACCAGGCTGATGAAAGTGTCCAGGCCAAGGTTATCCACTAGTATAGCTATGGGGAAAAAGTAAAGTAAAATCAACTTATTCGTTGATGTGCTTTTTACACATCTGGTCCCACTGGGGACACAATTTAATGAAAATGAAAAGTGTAAATACAAAACACAAGTTAATGTACACACTCCCTCCCAAGCACAAATGCCTCAAGAACCCAGTATGAATTGTTACACCCTATTAGCATTGCTATCATCTTGACTAAATAAGTAGTCAATTGTATCTTTATTTATTTACTCAACTTATTAACAGCTTGTCTGCACAAACTAAGTTTGCACGCTTTCAGTTGGATCCAGTAATGGTGTCCTTCACTCTCTGCTCTCTCTGGTCCTCTAGTTCTAGAGTTGACTCTCCAGTTGTCATGATAATATAAATATACTGCATGCCTGAATGTGTCCAGCTAGTTATGCAGACATATAAGGCAGGTATAGTTGCTTGTTCTTTAACATCAAAAGATGCCAGTGCTTTATCAGAGAACTCTCTTTGGCAGAATTTAATGACAGATCAGTATGTATGAAATAAGGCAATGTCATGTCATGTTGTAAGTCTGGATTAACACCATTGTATTGTTTGTATAATGTAAGGATAAAGAGTAGTTGGTAGTTGCTGATAGGGGTGGGAGCGGTATGGCAAAAATATAATATCACAACACTTGGAAGAAGTTTTCTTTATATACAATATATGACAATATTTATATTTTAGGTTTGATAAATTGGGACTGAAAAAAAACATTTCACACCCTCCACTGCACTAAATCCAAGCAAACAGGACTAATTATGCTCTCTTTGTAACCAAACATGCAGTTGGTCAGTGTAAAACTGATGATATCCACAATGTCAAGATGTGAAATACAGGGGGTCCTGAGGGGTGGTCCAGGACACATTAATTAATCTCTTTGACCCACTGAATGTCTCAAAAATTCTGGGTGTCCCTGAAAATAAAGTTATTATGATGTCATACTGTCCTTTAAGGAAAAATAGACACTCAAATACAAATTCAGGGAAAGGTCATTGCTTAGCACCCTTCAAGCACAATTGCCAAGCTTGGTGTTCTTATTTAGCTAGAGCTGCAGCACTGGTTTGCCTCACTGTGGTGCTAAAATTGGTTCACCCAGTTGGTCTTTCATAGCTTAGCAACTGTAACTATGTGTGGGATATCTCTGATAAAAGATAAGAGTATTCTTTAGCATATTTTTAAATCTGAAAACTTGCCCAATTTCCCAAGAGATTGGTGGAAAGAGTGAATTGTTATTCATTTCTCAAATAGAAGACAAAAGAGGAGATGTGCAAGGTATCAATATATGTGTGGAAGAGCACATTGCCAAACTAGAAATTTCCAGAAGAATGGTTAAACCAAGCATTTTGTTGAAGCTAGCATCAGTACTGCTATGGTGAGTGAGCAGCCAGCCAGCGCTGGAGTTGCCAGCCAACATGGGACACCCCCCAAATACCAGGGGCCATTTTGCATATTTTACAAGATTAGAGCAGATTTTTGCCTAAATATTGATTTGTCAGTTTCCTGATCAGTTGATTGTTAAAATCTCTCGTCTGATATTATCTTCCACTATGCAGTGCCTGCTTTATTAAAACTCCTCTTTACTTGTGTGTGCTGTGGTGTCTGTGCGTTGTGGTTTATAAATGCATGTGGCAGAAATGTCACAGCCATTTGATGGACCGCGTGTAGGTGAGAGGTTATGCTCAAAATCGTACAAAAATAATAAATAATAATCATGTATTTTCTCTGTGAGTAATAATATATCTTTTTCAAGTTGAAAGAAAGAAGGATAAAAAGTTTTTTTCTCCTATCTGGTGGAAACAGACTTGGGAGCCAAAGTGGTTATATTGTGTTTATCGTACATTAATTACGAAGCTGCGCATGTGTTCATTTGTGTGGAAGGTCTTAGTTGAAAACCCACTAAACTGGTCACAGGCGCAAAGTGTCTGTAGACTGTCAGTAATTTACACTTTTCTCAGCACCTGTTTACACCTTGCTTTAACATGCGTTTTTGGTGATCGAATTGAATTGGATTTCACTTGACCGCACAAACAGCCAAGTGTAAACCATTCCCAAGATGCATTGTGAGCGGATTATACCACTCCAGCCAACACGGGACCCCCCCAAATACCAGGGGCCATTTGCATATTGGACAATATGCTCAGCATATAGTGACATATTTATTATACTTTTTTTTTCATTTATTTCATTTTTATCATTTATCATAATAACAATAAATATTCCCAGTCCTAGTTGCTGTATAAGAACAGAATAGAACAGAATAGAATGCTACTTTCACTTAGGATAAAATAGGAAGATATATTATTTGACCGGGGTGTTCAGATTTTTGCAATCAAGTGTAAAAAACAATATAACGATTACATAATTATCAACATGATAACACATTTGACTATTAACAAACTAATACTAGCTTTAGATGACATTATTAGCCATTTAAACATGTTTTACTCCAATTACATTGACATGATATTTATATGCAGACATTGTGCCACAGTGTGCTGATACATGTATTGTGTAGTTTTAGTAAAAGATGATTTTTTAAGACAAATCATTTTGCTCGTCTCAGGTGGCAGTGCACTCCTTCGTGGAGAACCTCTTCAGGAGTATCTGGGGAATGCCCAACAACAGAGCTCCCTCAGCAGTAAAGTACTTCTTTGATTTCCTGGATGGCCAGGCTGAGAAGAAAAAGATCACAGACCCAGATGTTCTCCACATCTGGAAAACAAACAGGTACTAAATGGGTTCTGAATGCATAGTTGTTCATTATGCAGAGTTCAATAAAGCACCCACAAAAGGGAAAAATTGTGAATTACAGTGAGACAGAGAGATGTATTGTATGTCTTCCGCACAGCAACTTAGGGTCAGTCGCCTTGGGGCATGCGGACACAAGACTGGATATTCCGCAAAAGCAGAGTTGTTGTCTTGTGACTTTCAAAAAATGTGCTAAGAGATTCGAAAAAATAGCTTTTTATTGTGGTTGTAGCACCAGATGAATCTGAAAATATCAAACTTAAACCCATCAACATGTCTTGTGGTTACAGCACAACTGCTCTACAGCATGTGAATTTAGGTGTTTTGCTCACTCCTTGTTTAGCCCTCTGAATGGGATATTCACTTTGTGAAATACATGGTATCTTACACTGTATATCAAATATGACAGTACACTTTTTTACTAAAGTGTAGTTCACATGTTCTCTTGTGAAGCTTGTAAACTCCTGAGCTCTTCCAGAGGAAAGCAAACCTTTCTTTGGAAAGCAAACATGTTGAGTGCTCTGTCTTCTCATAATCTGGACCATGTGTAGGCTATTGCATGGGGTGTCAAGAGAAGGGAAACACGGCTGTATTCATTTAGATATGGAAACTGGTGATCTTGAACTGAAAGGTTTGGTGTGACCACAATGCCCTTGCCTTCCAGTCTGCCGCTACGTTTCTGGGTGAACATTCTGAAGAACCCCAACTTTGTGTTCAGCGACCTAGAGAAGACGCCTCACCTAGATGGCTGCCTGTCTGTCATCGCCCAAGCCTTCATGGACTCCTTCTCCCTCACTGACCAACAACTGGGCAAGGTAACCATGGAAATGGGCCCTTTGAGCCAAACAGAAAGCTTTATTCTTTGAATGATCTTATCTTTCTTTTCTCTTCTGTTTTTTGTCATCACAGCACGCACCGACAAATAAGTTGCTGTATGCAAAAGACATTCCTCTGTATAAACAGGAAGTAAAGGCGTACTACAAGCTGGTGAGGGATCAGCCATCTGTGAGCAGCCAAGAGTTCAAGATGTTTCTGAAAGACGAATCAAAGGTGCTGTGGAGTGCTTTTGTTTTTCTGTGCTATACTGTGTGGTCAAAGGCTAGCACAGCCTCCAACCTGTTTAGTCTTTCTCATGAAATGAAATGGAAGTCTGTAGTACTGATCAACTGGTTTCTTCTTCCACAGAAACATGAAAATGAATTCAATGAATCTGCTGCCCTTCGCGAACTCTACAAGTACATGCACCGCTATTTTTCTGAGGTATGAGGGTAGCAACGTGAACCACCACAGTGACACAACTACACACAAGTCTTATCTTTTAGTGCGTGCTTTCTTGTAATCTTTATGAAGATCTCTAGGGTCACAGTTGGTGAGCGCTGATGTAACGAGTATTATATAGCCAAAAACATCTCAGCAGCGGAGCTTATGTGTCTACAGGTGGTTTCCAGAAGCTTCAGATATTCTCAAACTGAACAACTTTACATCTTTGAGTGATTACAATAGTTTACAGTTTGCTTGTGAGCAACATAGTTTTATGCCACAACTATATATTTGATAAAAAAGGACACATTTAGTGAGTCCTCCAAGTAACTGACTTAAATTGTACCTTTACATACCTTAAAGGATGGGATTTTATTTTTTGGAAAATATTTTTTGCTAGAGTATGGCATTGTGGAAGCTTTATTTCACTTTTCTTGCACCTACACCCTACACTAGCTGTGAGCACTACTGACATTAGTTTGACTCATGTACAGTAGCATACACACAGTAATGCACATTTTGTGCCCTAAAAGTCACTGAGGTCCAAATGATGTTAGCAGTGCTAAACTGAAAATGCCATTGGCAGCGCTAGAACACACGTCTCTCACTTCCTTTTCTCTCTTTACATGGTACAGTTTTGAGGTTTGTCATGAGGTTTTGTTGTTCCATTTTTGTTTGTCGCAAGATTCAACACATACATCACCAAATCTTTTTTTTATTTGAGATTTATTAACTTTTAAGATATAGTAGCATTTAAATCAGTTTGGCTTAGTCTAGTGATATAATGAGGGTGTCAAACTTTAGAAATCCATCAGCATTTCTTATGGTGGGGAGCAACTGCTCTGTGGTTTGTGAATTGTAAAAGAGTGGTGGTTGATAGGCGGGGTGCGCTCTCATGTGCTTTCTTTTATGTTGGTCTGGAGCTCTGTGTGCTTACTTCCTGTGCTGGGATTCAGATCTTTAAAACTTTAGGCCAGTAGCCCGGTGCTCTGACTATTGTATGTCTTGTTCATTTCTTTTTGGTTACTGAGATGAAGGACAGGATTATGTTGATAGTGCAGCTCTCACTGTCACAGATTGGTGGTAATGTGGTGGTGACCTGTGGAGATTTGCAGATCACTTAATCACTTAAAAATAAAACAAAAAACTTAACCTCTTAACATTCCAGGTTTATTACATCCTAAGGGTTATTATTCATGGGAAACAATGCAAACTGTCTTGGAGCCTGGACCCCAGCTCCTAGGCGTTTATGAGGGTAAAGTCTAAAAATAGAGCTAGCTGTTCTGTTTTGTTGTTTTTCTTTTTTGCAGGAAATTATGAGGTTGGATCTGCTGTAATAATGTGTTCATCTGCATTCTACCTTAGTGACATACTGTATGCAACCCATTTATTCTAATCTTTTTATCTTGGTGGTTTCCTTTTGGTGCAGATCATCCAGAAACTGGAAGAGATGGGTGCCTCATCTAAACTGAAAGAGGAAATGCATCGCGTGAAGGACCTTTTTGAGGACATGAAGAGAAGTGCATGGACCTGAGTGTCCCTCTGGCTGTCTCCAAAGACAAAATATGACTCCACTGCCTTAATTCTTACCTCTCCCTAGCTTTTTGAGCAGCTCTCCCATCACTTGAGGGGACTCTTTGCATGACATGTTCTTCTATCTGGCTGGCGTCACGAGTGTGATGAGAGACAAAGAGACTTGGGTGGGTGCTAAATGTACACTGATCACATATTAGAACACAGAACCTGCAGACAGTGTAAAGCTCCAAAAAGATCACATGAAGATCTTACGCTAACGTTGGACCATCTTCCAGTGTTGCACACTTAGGCTGGTTCAAGATCATTATAGACAAATGTTAACATTATAACAATGCATTATACTAACATAAGCTATCATGCCACTCTGTTGACCCTTTTCTTTAATGTTCCTTTAATGACATTTTCACAAACCGAAACATAACTGAACAATAATACAATCATATGCAATATCTTTAGCCACACAGTGCTGTAAAGCTGTGGCTTTAAGATAATGTACAGTGTAAGCTATGTACTGCCTGCCTCTAACACACTACTGCTTCAGATTGTGTTATGCCATGCTTTTTATGTGCTTTTTCATGGGTTGAACCTGGACAGACTGTTAATCTGTAGCTTTTTGGAACCGCAGAGGGCTAACGTAATGCTAATAAACTGCTTTTGAAGTCAAGGCTCTTGACAAAGCAGAAACAGACCTTGTGACAACCCTCAAAGCGGATGCCAGCTGTCAACAGCGCTACAGGAAGTTCCTTAAAGATACAGTGTGATAATCGTATGATCTCAAACAGTGCATCAGTTAATGAACCTCCATGAAAAGTTTTCACGTAGTGAGTGAACCCAACTTCTGAGGAAATTGTAGATTCACAATGGATAAGTAGTTGGTTCATGTTGTACTTTGTAAAATTCTTAAGATTTTGCTCCTTTGATTTGTTATTTTGTTTATTTTTCTCTATAGAGTGTTTGTGTTACATGTTAGGGCTATTTTACTGCAGTTTCTGTTGTTCTCAGGAGCAAATATTAATTAAAAAAAGGAAAAATGAAAGAAATAAATGTTGACGTTCCTCAGCTGAAGAACCTTTTAGCCGCGCCGCAATGCTGCCCTCTGCTGGTCAAATCAGTGCAAGCACGCTAGGCACATGCAGGAAATATTGCAGTGGCAGTCCATGATGTTGATTACTTCAGTGCCTGTGTGTCCTTTGCTCAGTGGTTCCCAGTCCTGGTCCTGGAGCACCCCTGTCCTGAATGTTTTGGTGGCTCCTTTGTTCTGAAGCAGAAAGGGTTTGCTGGCCTATGAGTTAGATTGTGTATACTTGGGCAGGAAAACCCCAAAATATACAGGACAAGACTGCTCAAAGACTAAGGTTGGGAACTACTGCCTTACATGAAGTCAAGTCATTACTGTATTAAAATAAATACTTTGTATATTCTATATACACTCACCAAGGACTTTATTAGGAACAACTTCACCTACTCATTCATGCAATTATCTAATTAGCCAATCGTGTGGCAGCAGTGCAGTGCAAAAAATCATGCAAATACAGGCCAGCAGCTTCAGATAATATTTACATCAACCATCAGAATGGGGAAAAAATGTGAAAAACGTAGCCTGGTCTGATGATTCTCCATTTCATGCCACGCATGCTGGTTTGAGTATTTCTACAACTGCTGATCTTCTGGAATTTTCAAACACAACTGTCTCTAGAGTTTACTCAGACTGGTGCAGTAAAGAAGAAACGTCCAGTGAGCATCAGTTCTGCAAACAGAAACGCCTTGTTGATGAGAGAGGCCAGAATGGTTTGAGCTGACAGAAAGTCTACGGTAACTCAGATAACCACTCTGTACTATTGTGGTGAGCAGAAAAGCATCATAGAATGCACAACGCATCGAACTTTGAGGTAAATGGGCCCCACTTCTGTTAGCCAAGAACAGAGAACTGAGGCTAGTAGGGTCACAATTTGGCACCAACAACATGAATCCATGAACCCAACCTGCCTTGTGTCAACAGTCCAGGCTGGTGGAGGTGGTGTAACAGTGTGGGGAATGTTTTCTTTGGGCCCATTAATCAATCAATCATTGCTTGGCTGCTACGGCCTGTTTGAGTATTGTTGCTGACCATGTGCATCCCTTCTTCTAATGGTTACTTCCAGCATAATAATACACCATGTCAGAAAGCAAAAAGATGTTTCCAACATTTTATGGAATCCATGCCATGAAGAACCGAGGTTGTTCTGAGAGCAAAGGGAGGCTCTACGCAGTATTAGTGTTGTGACGACCGCCACGGGCTGCACTGCCATGAGGAGCTTAGAAGGTGTGGCCATGCAAAGTGGCACTCGGGAGGCGCCACACTCCCAGGTTAAAAAGGTACTGCTGCTGCTGTCTTAGTTGTTGTTATTGATGTTATTAGTGTAGTTGTGTTGTTTGCAGTAATTGTGACTGAGGAGGGTGGGTTTACAATGTGTTGAAGCTTTCACCCTATGCAGATGTCATATTCTCCCGTGTTACCTATCCCTGCGTTTCCTGTTGAGTTAGCACCAGGCTGGGCATTGCTTACTGTCTGTTAAAGTCTCTGTTCAAAATAAAAAGCGTTTGCTTTCTTCTTCTACGCTGACACTACAGCATAGTGTTTCTCATAAAGAGCTCAGTGAGTGTATAAATATGTAATAAAGATTTTTTTTTTGTATATGCTGTATATACATTGGTAACTAAAAGGTTTGAAAAGAATAATAGCTGATATATAACAAAATTTGTCAAAAAAACTTGACTAAAAACGTGACTAAAACAAAAATTGCCTGACTTTTTTCTGATAAACTAGATGTAAATAAATGTTGGAAATAAGTAAATAAATATTTTAAAATCTTCATGGGGTGCATTTTTCTTAATTTTTCCTCACATGCCCTATCAGTAGACGTTTCATCTTGAGGACATTTGGTCCGTACAACACACGACACACGCTGGCGTATGACGTAGACATAACCCCCCCCCACCAAACTCCCCCTCCATACACACACACACACACACACACACACACACACACACACACACACACACACACGGTTGACCTGTGTGACGTGTACGCTCTCCCTGTCCTCCATTGGCTCAATGATGTAGGGCAGGTTCATGTAAACACGCCCAGTGCTGACAACACAGGCCCCAGCCGTACCGCATTCAGTATGGAGCCCGCTGGAAAGTGGGAAAGGTTAGATTACTCTCTGTAGAGCTGATGTCATTCAAGTTTTATGTAGATAACTATGTGCGTACCGCCGGAGGAGGAAACATGCCGTTGACAGATAACTACAATGAAAAGAAGTGAAGATCTGATCCCGGTCTGTGGATAAATCATTCATACGATACGGTCATGGCTGGACTGATCAAGAAACAGATCCTCAAGCATCTTTCCAGGTCAGTGTTCAGCTCATCGATTCTTCATTCCATTAGCGTGAAGGTGTATCTGTTTCGGTAACGGCAGGAGGTTAAGTTAGTTAACTAACGAGCTATGTCGTCGTTAAAAAAATGTCTCAGGTTTGTCGAACGGTAACCGGGCAGATAGCTAACGTCAGCTAACTGGTTAACCCACTGTCACCGTGTAACATTAGCCGGCTAGCTAACTGGTTATCATTAAATAGCCGAACGGGCATTTTACAGACTCGAGTAGCTACTGAATTAGTTTATTGCTCCCGGTATGGCTGTTTTTAACAGGCTCGTCGGTTAACGGTGATTAACGGCTCGCTGTCCGCTGTCGTGTCGATGCAGAGCGAGGTGACCACTAGATTAACCTAGCTAGCTACGGTAACGTTAGCTAGCTAACTGTCGCTGCTCAGTTAAATGTCATGATTTGTCTTGTTTGTGGCCCGTAGACGAGGAGCTCAGACCCTTTCTTCCTCTTTGTGGATACCTGTATTACCTCAGACATTATTTCGCTTTCTCAGTGGACACACTGGACGCTGATAATGATGATATTGGCCAACTTTTCTAACCTTTTGTACGGAATGTCTGTAGCTGGCTAGCTCTGCTTCCCTTGGCTGGGGCAGGTGAATCAGCTGCGGTTTCGGTGAATGCTGTCAAACCAGGTCTTATTCCCTTTGAACGAAAGGCTTGATTCAGAAATGAGTATTTTAATCATGCCATTTTCTCATATGAGGGATATAGGCGCACCTGAATGGGGCCGAGTTCTGCTAGCGTTTGGAAAGTATATACAATAAACCAGGCTGAAATGTGTCATAAGGTAAATGACATAAATAAGCTAATTCGTTTATTAAGCTAGTCTGTTAAAGTGATGAAGTCCAGCAGGCAAGCTGTTGTCTATTCAATATGTGGTTCTAGTATAAGTTGTTGTCCGTTGTGTGTGATGTGATGATGAATGGCCATCTACTGAAGCTCATTTTTTTTTTTCTAAATTGCTTTGGAATAAACTTTATTTACTGTATGTTTACATTTCATAAACCATCATGTTACTATGTGACTAGAACATGGCCAGCAGTGGCAAGACATATTAGTGAAAGCTGGAAAAGTATGACCCATTTGTCCTGTTGTAACCTGTTAATGTATGGTCTGATTGAAGGGTTGGGTTCAGTCTCTGGTTTATTACTTACGGGACTGCAGTGTTTGCTGACCTTGGCTTTTTGCTACATGTGTGAAAGACTATGACAAAGATGTGTTTCAGGCTATACAACAGAGCTGCACATACGTCCACATAGTTTTTCCTCTTGGAGACAATGGGGCTATCTGTTTTATCAACCGTCATTACTGTTGTTGCCATTGTTTATGATCGATCTAAGGCCAACCCACCTGCATTATTGATTGTCTCCAGGGAGCGAGTAGAGCTGTAATTCAATACGTCTTCATTCTAAACAACAATGTGAGGCTATGAACTTTAGACGCTTAATCCAACGCCATTCTGACACATTAGTTTGTAGTGCCATAAGTCTAAATTGCTAATCATGTAGATAAGATAAGAATTAAGCCTGAAATGTAGGTTGAACTGTAGTATTTTTGTCATCCTGAACACAGCAAGAAGTTGCCATCAGTTAAGCCATAGTCATACTGGACTTTTGCCTTAACAAGGTGGAGCAAAAATATGATGATGATTGGATTCCTGATGTGATATGATTTCGGAGGGAGCGTGTAGCTGATGTTAGCCAGTAATTGATTGAGAAGCAAAGAGGCATTTTTTTTCTCTTGATAAATTAAGACTATAGCCCATCCCCTTATTTTCTATTGGCTCATGCTTACTAAGTTCATGAGTACATGTAGGTAAAGTTCATGTACTCCATTAACCCCATATTGGAAGCAGATTCCTTTATCCTCTTCCATTCAAGTGAATTGACTTTTTCACTAGGCCCATTTTTCTAGCCTTAGGTCTGACCACAGCTTTACAGTGTTGAAGCTGAGTAATAAGTGGTGTAACCAGACTGACCTGTGTCATGGAGTACATGCTCTTGCCTGCTTTCTGGAGCATAGTTCTCCTAAAGTTTCTGCCATTATTGTTAAACCTCTAGCAGTCTAGAGTGGTTTTTAAGGATAGCTCAGCAACTTGCCACCAATTTCAGTCTCACAATACACAATAGTAAGTGTGTTAGATGAGCCCTCGGAGGGGTGAAGGACCGAGTGGACACAAGTTTTGACTTCAGCAGTAGAGCTTGCCCTGTAATGATGATCTGACGTAAGTCCATGTTCAACCTCTAACCCTCCCACCAAAAGAGTGGGCAAATCTGTATATATGCTTAACATTTCAAACCCAAAACATTTGATGTGCTATATTCAGAATGAGAAAAGTTCTCCATCTATTATAAATAAGTGCTGCAATTTTATCACTTTTACTCTGCTAGCTTGCTAGTTTGCAAGCCAAAGTCTGCACAGCTAGCAACAACAATAAGAAAGATACTACATCATGGTTTAAAGTAAAGCTTACAGCCAGACAAAGCAGTTATTCACATTATATTCTGTTTTCAACAACAGTTCTGCATGGAATGGTTTGAATAGTTAGTTGATTAGCACACTGAAGCTAACCTAGCTGAAGGCGAGTGCTTTCAGATCAAAAAATCCGCTCCTTGCTTCTTCCACCTCCTCTTGTGTAACATAGGGGTGAGACAAAGTGGGCAAGGGCATGTTTTAAAATGGGATGTTAGAATTTCTGTTACATCACACAACCTTAATGTACCTGCGACTCATCTACCCTGCCTACTGACAGGTATGCCTACCATAGGTGATTGGTGGCTTACCCAGAGTGTGTTGCACCCAGCTTGCTTGTAGTGTCCTGCTGATGGTGGATGTGACTGGTGGAATTATCTAGCCGTTTCATAAGTGCATTTATATTTATGCCATTTGGCAGACACTCTTATTAACAATTAGGCAAAATCATTTTACATAAGTAGGCTAACATAGTGTTAGGATTTTTGGCTTGTATAGACAGGTTTTCTGTTTACAAACATTACTGGGTGCGCGCGCAGCGAGGGGACAAAACTTTGGTAATGTAGTCGGGCACAAGATAGCAACATTAGTCAGCTGTTGTAATCAACGTAGATTTCGGGGGGAGATCTGAATCTGTTAACAATAGTTGATTTGAATCTGCTAGCAATAGTTGACTATCAGTAACTGCTAGTCATCAGGCCCACTGTTTGCTGTTCACTAAATGTTTAGCTAATAGGAGCTATATAAATCACAAAAACATTATTGCTTGCTGACATGTCCTATGGATTTCACTCAACTTACCTGGTTTTGTTGTTTGTTAAGCCTGTCTGTCCTCTCCTTATTTGACAGTAATCCAGAGCATGATGGTACCATGTCGCTAAGCTAAGTCAAAGTAAAAATGTTTGCGACAAGGTAACTTTGCAACCTGCCACAATTGAATTTGACAGCTACTGTAAACATTACTTTTCAAGACATGAGGCTCATGACCACCTGTTAGATCTGGGGCAGTGAGGAAATGGCTGGCACAGATTACAGTGTGGCCAGAAATTTTATGGCCCAGTATTTACAGTTATCTCATACAGATGCCCAGTGTTTATACAAAGGACAATCTGCATGCTTACAAATCATTAGATGCATATAATTGTGTACTTTGTGGTCACATGCAAGAGGTCAATTTTTATGAAAGGATGATAGCTGGATCAGAGTTTTGCATTTTGAGGGCAGGTGTCCTACCTAGCCAAAGACAAGGTCAAGGACTAAACCTTATGTTGCCAGGATTTACATCCAAAAGGACCCCGGTCCGCCCTTTTAATGGCCTGGATCCATAAACCTCTGCAGTCTTTGCCAAAAGGATGTGATCCCCTCAGGATAATAAACATTCTCCAACCATGTTCTCAGTGATTGATGCAGTCTATTGCACGACAACTCATTGTCATTGGTGCTTTATGCTGTGAAGAGTGCTAATTCTGCTGTGAAGAGTGCTAATTCTGCTGTGAAGAGTGCTAATTCTGCTGCGAAGAGTGCCGCTTTCTGTTGCTTTTTGCCCCCCGGTTGCACATGCATCTTTGTGATGACACTGCACAGAAATGTATCTGTTGGTATAGCGTGGTGTGGGCTTGCCTGGATGGGGAATTGAACCCCAGTCTGCTATGTTGATGGGACCAGTGTTGCCCCCCCGTACTATACCACCCATATACGCACTTTAAGTAGGCCTGTGGAGCATTGTACTATAAATGGCTGTGTAAGATAATGTGTACCACTTTGAGCACACTGTAGTATGTAAGATTATCATAAGGCTGTAATAGACACTAGGTCATTTTCTAACAACCCTTAGAAGTTACTGGGCTTGGTGTTCTGACGTATCTGCTTGCAAAACCACAGGTACCAGTCAGTGCCAAGGAATGTACTTTAGCCTATGATGAGTGTTTGTGTTTATGACCGTCTGCCAGTGTTAATTATGCAGCCGCTCGATTGACCTCTGTTCTCTCTTTAATTTGCATTCATGATCAGCCGCTCCTCCGCTCTATTGCTCCAAGGGGTAACAGTGCAGCCTACTGATGATGTGACCTTGCCCATGGGGTTGAGAGAGGGAGAGGCCTTAGTGTGTCCTGTCTGACAAGACTCTCTTACAGCTGCGCAGTGTTAAAACAGTTGGCCTGTATGTCCAGCCCTGTTCATTACCCTTTCCCAATTCTCACAGCTGATTCTGATATTTTAAAAGAACTTTGAGATGTTGACAGTTATTTTCTTAGAAGAGGAAAAGACAGATAAACATGTTGTCTTGTTTCTTTGTGGCTGAGTCATCAGTGAGTAGCAGTATAAGAGTGGTTCTTTTATGATGACTAGCTCTCTCTGGTTTGAGGGCTATGTAAGTGAAAAACACACTTAAATTGGGATAAAATGATGCACATGGGCTATATGCATACATGCAAACTCATCGCCTTTTGCCATTTGGGTTGAACGTGTAATTCATGTGAATCTTGTAGATCTGA